TTCACATAGAGACTTCATTTGACAAGCATTTCCACCTTCTTATGGAGCTCGTATCAAAGACAGCTTTGCACTCCCTTCTTCAGAAGAGAGGAAGAGGATGGGAGAGGGAGTTGTTTGTTTGTTCATACAGATTCTTTATCAAGCCTGGTATTCCTCTAATTTCCCATCAGAGCAAATATCAGTGAACTCTGGATTTGAGTGCTTTAATTTCTGAAAGGAAGACATTTTATTATTTCCCAAAATAAAGATAATCTGGAAGTTAAAAAGTATTTAAGTCCTGAGTCCATCATTTTTATCTAAACAACTTTATTTTGGAACTTCAAGACAAAAAAAAAAAAAAAAAAAAAGAGCCTAAGGTATTTTACAGTATCCATTTAAGATAAAAATACGATTTATATCAGCATTAGAGAGGAGGTCACCACAGTGTTAGTCAAACACAGGATCTCTCACCTCTGTGGCGCTCTTATGTTTATTTTATGAAGCCAAGACTCCTACACTCTCAAGTGCTGCAAGTATAAGTGAGCTACCATTGTATCCCCCTCCACAGTGCCCGTGCAAAATTGCAGCAGCTCATAACTGGTAAGATTTAGTGAGACATGTTACTGCATACTCGGTGCTAATATTTGCTAACGCACAGAATCGTCAACAGTACTTCAATGTAACTCTCCTAACACAGAGGTTGTGTTTGCCATGTTGTGGTTTGGTTAAATATCTCCACCTTCAAGTCTAGCGAACTGAAAGATACTTCAGCTCACGCTGCATCGGCAAAGGAAGCCAGCTCCCTAGGAGAGCAAGAGCATGTGCACTGCTACTGATCACCAGTGCTTTGAAGTATTTCTGCCCAACCTTGGGTATCATTCACAAGATCGTCTGTCCCACCACTAACACAAGTCAAGCTGTGATCAAACTGAGCAACCTCCCCGGAAAAGAGGGATGAAATCAGTAGCTGATTATACATACAATTGTGTATTTCCAAAGACAAATGCTCAAAGTCCGTTACTGACATCTGTAAGAACTGGAGGGATTTGGTTTTGCCCAGATCAGGCAGAGTGCCAGAATCTCTTACTGTTCTCAGAATTAATACAAACTGAACTTACACATTCACAGCCTATTTCCTCCAGCTTCCTCTGAGGTTTATTCTACCTGGAAATCAACAACTTGCAACCTGCACATTTTCTTGCTAGTGATTTGGAAGAGGAAAGGAATGGCTCTGACTAAGAGTTCAGTTCAGAAGAGGGTCTGCTCCCACTGCAATCTGAAGGAATGGCAATATCTGGCCCAGTGGCATGGGTCTTTCCAGGCCCCACATTTGCATTTTGTAAAACCATGAAATAATGCAAAAATACGAGCTCGCTTACAAAATCAATCCCTCTTCTGCAGAAAGTTTGGTTGCAGTGGTTGGAACCAAGGGCTGCTAAATGGAGAAAATCTAAACTGGCTGTGGGTGACAATGCCCTCAGAAGAGCTACCTGGAAGCTTCTGTTGCAGTTACTCAGAACATCATTTCATGCTTAGGGGCACGCGCCTTGCAGAGAGTTTTCAGTGGATAAGGAAAGAATCTTTTCGATTCCACCGAAGCCGCTAAAGCTAACCCAGGATAGCAAGATGTTTCTCCTTGTTGCACTCACAGATCTGTGCAAGAAGTCAAAAGTACACCACGAGCTGCTGTAGTAACAACGTCCCCACGCTTCAGCTACAGAACACCTACATCAAAAACAAGACCTATCACTGTTTGTCAGCATGGGGTTTACCTTTTTTTTTTTGTTTTGGGCAACATGCTGCCATCTCGTGGGGAGCATTGTGGATGGTACCACAGGGCTGGCACAGCTCTGATTCCCATGGCATGAATGGCACAAACAGGATCGATAGCACAGGGGGCTGCAGCAGGCTGGCACCCCCAGGAACAGTAGTTGCATACAGGCCACTTACAACTCATGCCTCACTCTCAGAGCTCCCCAAAAATCCTCAAAAATCTCCTTATTCTCTGGCAAGAATGGACCCATAGAAGTGTTTGAGGGAGACGTGAGGCTGTAGCTTGTTAAATGAAGGTGTGCCAGAGCACGTGCTTACAGCATCTTAAGTCAGACCTGCATCAGCATCAAATTTTACTGCTACATTATTGCACATAGAAACACATCCTGCTAGGCAAGAGAGCTATGGGCCAAGAGCAAACGGTCAGGCTGGATGTGTGTGTGTCTGTGCAGAGCCAGGGCAGGGATTTCAGAACGGCCGTGTCCACCCAGTGCTACAGGCGCTGGCTGGGGGCTCTCTGGACTAGCCGAGAAGACAGCAATGCCTGCAGTGTTAAGCACACAGTTCCTAGACCTAAGTTTCCTTCCACTGAATGAAGTTGCTGTTCTCAGCATGGATGAGCCTTTTCAGGGTTTTATTTTTGTAAGTTTGCTGAGAGAATTAGCACCTACGGGAGCCAGGGCACAGTAGTTATGCTATGTAAGCCAGACAGGCCCCCTGAGCACTTTTCTGCCAATCCTGTTTTTTACTAACTGGTACCTCTCTGCTTTTCCACACAGCCCCTCACACCAAGCATGACACCGGTCACAGCTAACCGGGGGGTGGTGCGGGGAGAGGCACCCTAATTCATGAGCAGGGTTGTGTCTTACACAGGCTTGTCTTATGGCAAAGTCCAAATTCCCAGTTTTCTGAATTCCCACATTCAATCCCAGATATATCATGATCTCCAGTCTTACCCCAAGCTGCTGTTCATGGCTAGCTCATTTAGATCAAGCAGTTCTGGCTTTTGCTCCAGGCAGCACCTCCAGAAACAGCTGGCATTTTGTAACAGGCCTTTCAACCGGTGACAGGACATGTGTAGCTCCTGGTCATGAAGGGGGTGGGAGGTGGATGCTAGTGCCAATGCAGTGACAACTCCTAACCCTGGCTGTAAATCCAGAGCGAACTCCCTGGCTACCTTTTGTGCCACACTGACAGCTAACAGTGCATTACACAAGGACGTTCAGTACCTCCCCAAATGCAAGTGTAAGGTGTGTCTGAAATTTCTTGTGCTCTTTCATTTAACCCCAACTCTTTCCCATTTGTTGGTGGGCCAGGAAATAGTTACATAAAGAAATCGGCGAAATAATACACCCAGAGCCTTGCAGGTCCTACAGCAGCCCCTTGGGGCTGCCAGCACACCAAGGACAAGCCAGCAGGTTCTTCAGCTGCAAAACTGGCCAGCAAAAAGTGCTGCATCATGTCCTTGTCCTATGCTGCCTGCTCTCTGCCCCACGTGCCCTTTTACACACCTGTAAAGCTCCCATATTTGTCTCAGAGGCTTTACGCATTCTTGCCCAGCACACACTCCCTGCAACAAGTGCAGGGCTGTGGGGAGCCCCTCCCCTGCCCACCCTCGTGCATCACCCCAAAACAGCAGCCTGCTGCCAGGACAGGGCACGGGGGGGCTCCCACACAAAAAGCCTGCTGCACCCACCCTGACAGCAAACCATTCCTCCCAAGTTTGCAACCCCGACCAGCTTGTTGCCTTTTTTTTTTTTTTTTTTTTATTTTCACTCATTATTCCCTCTCATAAATTGCATTTTTGTGTGCTGCTTTCATGACAGCTGTTTCATCCATCTTATTCTCATCAAATGGATATGTACACTGCACGCACACACAAGAACACACGCTATGTGTGTGTATGTTTAACATACCTCTACATTCTTCCAACTCCTGAATTTATTTCCAGATAAAGATTCTCCATTCAATTCACGTCTCAGGCTCCTGTCCATGTTTAGTAATTTGTTCCATATCTTCCAGTGCAGCAAGCGGGAGAGAATGCACAAAACATGTTCAGGCTACCACTGCTGTATTAGATTCAGGCACAGATGAAACTTTCCCTAAACCTGGCCAAGCATAAATGCACACTATACTTAAACATCTCGTGGATATCTGTAGTGATCTTAGTATAGTATGAAATACTTGATCTAAGAAAAAACAACAAATCGCATCTCAAGTGACTGTTTCAGAATATTTCTGTTTCTAGTGTAACTTTCTCTCACCTTAAAACTATGCAGCCCTCATTTCCTGAGCCTCAGGATCACCACAGATAGGATACTTCATGGCACGTAATTAAAATCCACATCTGTAAGGCTACAGTGCCTATTGAAGAAAAACGTTCCAGCAAAAAATCAGGCTTCAGTTGTGTTCAGTCAAATATAGCAGCCAGCCAGTGTGAAGGAGTTTCCTTAATAAATTCTGTATTTGTAGACACATTCAGTTAGGAAAAAGATTTCAAGGTTGTGCTCCTAGCTTATTCTTTTACGTTGTGTGCATGTACTAAATGGGCTTTGCTACATACACCTCAAAAAAACTTTATTACTATACACAGTGTTTAATCAGAACAGCTTTAGTGACAAATGCATACCTGAAGCATTTCCCTTTTTGTTTATTCTTTGCTGTTTGTTTTTGTTTTTAAAAAAAAAAAAAAAAAACACTTTTAAACTACTTTACTAAACCACCTTCGAAGAGCAACATACAGAAAGTCACACATAATTTGCACTGATTGGAGAGAAACTGGATGAACTTACCTTCTGAAGGTGGAATCTGTCCCCTGAACACTAACTCCTGTTTTCCCCACAGCTGCTATACTTGCATCACTACTCGTAAGTGTTTTACAGCAACAGCAGAACATATGTTGTAGAAAGTAGAGCTCCACAGCAGAGCACGAAAATCTGCCCAACAAGCAAAAGAATTGTTCAAACTAAATGTGCAGCAGCAAGATCTGTTATAGGACTCTTTGGCTCCAGCGATGCCTAGAAACAAATCTACTTGTACCAGTCTTCGGTTTGGCTCAGGTTCTTTAAAAGTACTAATCTGACCCCTCTAGCAACAGCCTTGCACATGCACTTTTGCACATGCAAAGTTTGAAGGGGGCATTTTTAAAAGGACGATAGGAAGCCTATGTACATTTAAGTCGTAACAGGTTTTACATTCAGCATCTACTGCATTTACAGGATGTCATCTATATAAATGATAAAAAAGCATTTGCATTTCTAAGTTTATTTAATGCAGAAGTATTTGCAGACCACTATCCTTACATTCTCTTTCCAAGGATTATTATAATATCATTCCTTCCTGCTTACCCGCATCACACCTCTTCTGATTCCTTGGATTTAAATAAGCTTCAGATCTTGTTCTCTATGTTCCGTTATTACTTATTTCCATTATGCAAACATCCAGAGGTCCCAGTCAGAATTTCAGCTCCTCTGTTCTGAGAATTTCCTGGTGGTTCATATTGATGTTCCCTGCCCTGGTGGCTGTCTGAGCCCTCATGTATCCATCACTGCAACCTAGCATATGGCAGCATTCACAACATCATGCAGAATATTTGAATGACACTGGTTTGGGCTGTGATTAGCCTGGAGTCATCATACCATGACCTTTGTATTCTTGTATGTCATTTACTTTGCCGTCTTTTCACTTCAACTGGTGTCAGCTTCCTACAGCTAACAGCTGAAATATATAGTTCTATCTTCCAAAACTGCACCAAACAAACCCAAATAGTTACATTCATTTAAAAAAAAAAAAAAAAAGAAAAAAACAGTCCTTGTGCTGTGGGTCAAACGAAGCTGAGGATCAAACAAACAATTGAACAAATTAATGAGAAGACATTAGGATTGTTTTTTTAAAATATTTGGATAGTTTGAGTACAACTATAATCTCAATGTAATATCACAAACAAATATAGAAAAATAATATTGAACTATTATTGAACAAGTCATTTGTAATTTCATATGATCTATTTTTTAATTATAAGAACAGTGAAATTAATGAAAAGCTCTAACAAAACAAGGGTATAGTCAAAAATATTCTGGGAACTTGTGTCTTAACGCATGTTTTCACCTTTTTTATTTTTAAGTTTGAACAAGTTTTAGAAAATAATCAGATTTATCTACAAAGTAATAAAATATTGTGGCAGTTTACTCTGTCTCGATACAGATAGTCGCAACAGGACACTTGATTCCAGCTCATCATACAGGATTTGTTTTTAGTATAGTTATTAGAATTAATACCAGGATAATTCTGGGCTTACACCAGCCAGAAATAGGTGCACCACTAAATACACAAAGAATCATGTACTTGTGGGGTAAAGATGCGGGCTAATAATATGCTACAGAAAACAGAATGCTATGGTAAGCAGACGTTCCCAGGATATAAAGTCTACCTGGTATGTGATAACTTGCTGCACAACCTTTCATTTTGTTACAAAACTATTATTTAGCACAGCAAAGACAACTAAAAATATTACCCAATGTTTTCATGCAACTAAAAGGCCACTGGTTTATTTCCCTTATTAATACTAAATCTGAAACTTTTTACATTAATTTACAATGAATAAAAGATCCTTACAAATATCTCATGTAGGTGACATTAAGTCATCCGGTTAATGCTAATTATTTCAAAAAGTTAAATCCTGTTTTATAAGGTTAAACATTTGGAATTATTTCTTGCCAAAAAATAACATGTCTACAACCACACAGAAAGTAGAAACTCAGATTTCTACAGAGCCACTACCACTGCTATGAAATTACAATGCCAAGTGTTACAACATTCTGTAAGTTACCACTCTTCCCAATACTTAAGATAGCAAAAATTCCCTCTCTACTTTCTACTGCATACACAGGATCTGAAGTAAAAGGGAAAATTTTCATTTATAATGTTAGGTAACAGAAGTGCTTCCAAATCATTCACTTTTTATGTAGAAAATGAACGCAGCTGTGGAACAAAACAGATTTTTCCTCAAGAAAGGGCAGGTTCTTCTGCTCAGTCTTGGACCATATACGACATCGATATGCTCCTCTCCTTCTACATGCCTGAAGCTTCTGCAGACAGCAAAGAAAATGCCCCATGCACATGCAGGCAACAGAGAAGCAAAGCTGAGATCCTCTGTACGGACCAGAGGTGAGACACTGGTCCCAGAGCAGCTGTGCAGAGCAAAAACGTCAGTGTACCTAACAAGATGAAGTGCAGTGGAACAAACCCAGAGCTCATGTGCAGAGCAGGAAAGTCCAGTTTCACCAGTGAACAATATCTGGAAGTCTGAAAACATTTTGTTTTCTTGAAACCTTGCTGAAAGCAATCGCTCTGCTTTGCAAACCATTCAGAAACGTGAAACTGATCTGCAGCCTTCTTGTGAGGGAATTCAGCAAGAACTGGCTTGTGCCTCTTGTCAGAGAGCCCCCAAACCACAACAGAGCCACGCTGCTGTCTTGGTGAAGGTGCCCAGAAGCTGGCCTCTAACTCACCCATGCACTCAGGGCAGCACTGCAGCATTTCATGCGTGTCAAAGTGTTCTGTTAGCATATAGAGATGGTTGGTGGGTCACTGCAAGTCACTGACATACTGCATCTGGCATGCGAAGCCCTGAACAGTAAAGAAGAGGGCTTTTCAGCCAAGGGGAAGCTAGCTTGAAACGCCTCACTTCTATCTCACCTCCACAGCACACTTTTACCCCAGAGGTAGCAAGCCTTTCCCATCATCCTTCCTCTCATCTTGGCATCCCTTAGCCACTCTTCACTGACCGCACTGTCTCATAAGCACACAGACCTGCCTTCCTTTCCTCCCTTCTGCTAATCTACCCCCTGCCTCCCTACTCATCTCCCAACCTCTTTTGCTCTCCCTTTTGCAGGTCTGGCAGTCCCATTCCTGGAAAAGGCACACACAGGCAACACCTGAGCCAGGGCAGGAGCCCCAGCGCAGCCTGCAAGGGCACAGCTCTCCCTCTTTGCAGCAATTTCCCTTTGCCTCCCATGAGACCATAATAATTCCTTCTGGGCAGTACTAAGAGCAACACAGTGTCAGTGGCATAAGGCCACTGCCACTTTCCATCACGCCATGATCAAGATGTGTCCTTACCACGGGACAGGCTGTACTCTCATGTGCCACAGAATGGGGCTCTCACAGCACGACAGTTCAGCGAGGCTGTATTTGGTGGTGCTCATTTACCCCGAACAATGCAGGCAAAAGACTCAAACCCTGGATGTGCACGGGAGTTTCATCTGTCACACTGTGGATATGGTATTATTCACATACAACAGTTAAATACCACATACCAATGTAACGAAACCCAGGGAGATACAAGCCCGCATCTAAAAGAGGGAGCATTCATCCCGGCTACACTGCAAAATTTCAGTACCTTTCCTGAGGGGACACACAGAAGATGACCAGGGGCCACTGGGCCCCTCAGAGCACTGCCAGGGACCGACCCAGAAACATACGGGTCTACCTCCAAAGGAGTGGGGCTGGGGCCATCTCCCTTCAAGACAGAAGGCCCAGAAGATATTTTATGCTGAGGAAATGGTTTGCATGGCCAGAGAACAGTGACGTAACATGAATGTGGACAGAAAAGCACTAAGAAAACAAAAAACATTCTGATCAACATCGTTCTCCCTTTCAGAATATCTTTACCTCAAATGAGAAACACAACAAGAGAAAAAGGACCTAGAGTTTGGGAATCTTAAAATGGCATTTTACCATAGATGGCTTCCATGGCTACGGTCTGATTGAGGAATATCTTTGCATATCCACTTCTCTTGAACAAGAAAGAGAAAGCAGCCCTTCTCTGCCTAACATGGTCACTGCAAGGTGCTCAAACAAGATAAGGGATAGGAGGATTGGAGTTCATATAAGAACCTTATACAGTTTGAAACCATGATGTACAAGAACATAATTTGTCCAAAGCCTGCATTTAAAATGGTGCTTGCATGTTCAACTTGCAGGTGCTCAGGGGATAGAATTTTATATTACTTGGAAAAGCCAATTTGTCATGCTGTCCCAGGGCTATGCACACAGAGAGCACTGGGATTCAGCTGAGAATCTGTTCTGTTGAAGAATTTGCAGTCAGCCCACAATAGAAGCATCCAGTGGGTCAGGGTCTGCTTTCCATTTCTGTGGTGCCCTGCTATCATTCCGTTTAAAGCAGTAGGTGTCATTAGCATGAACACAGCTTGATACAGATGTAGAGTGTTCAAGCCAATATTCAGCCCTTTGCTTCTTCATCCATATGCCTCATACAACACATAGTTCAAATTAAAAATACATGTTGTACAATTCTCAGATTCTGTGGGTTGGGTTAAAACCATTTCAAACTTAGTTCTGAATTTTCTCTGCAACAAAAGTTAAGAAAGACATCAAATTTGTTCCCACTTTCAGTGAGACTGAACGTGATCCCAGTTTTGTTGAGGTAATATGCATTAACAGCAGCCCAGAGTTCAACCAAAACCACACCACTTAGCCTGTCTGTCCTCGTTAACTTTTAGAGTTACTGATGAAACAACAGGGTAGAGCTCTACAAACTTCTGCTTGGCACCGTTCAGTTAGAGAAATTATGGTTAGTCTCTAATTCACAGACCCATGAAGTATCCTTGGTACTCAAAAGGTATTATCTGGAGAGGAATCAAAATTCTGTTCACCAAAATATTTATATTAGCTAAGAAAGCCAAACTCTGCCAAGAACACAGCTGGCAAGCTTCCCCAGAGTCTCTCTGCCAGTGTGTAAAGCACAGAAAGTGGGCCCACCTCCCATAACCCCTCTGTGCATACCAATGACTTGTTAGTATTTTAAGTACAGTGCCAGCTATTTGTAAGGCCTCAAAAATCTGGAAACTTTAGAGCGCAGCAGCCGAATGAAGGATCTTGGGAACATCTCTCTTGACTCTTGGGCTGTGTACTTGAAGTAGTTTTGTGGATGCGCCAACACATCAAACAATGCTTTTATCAACTTCTTATCCTAGAAAAAGGAAAGCAGATTTTGTACAGTAATTCCACAGAGAAATTAGGGTCAGTAACACCAAAGTCTAATGACCAGTCAACTGACAAAAGGTTATGGGCATTTTACTTCTCAAGTAAAAATGTCTCAGGAGTTCAGACTAGCAGAGCAAGGCTGACATTGACATTCAGGCCCCAGGGAACTCACTGGAATTTCACATTTGTTTTTAGTAGTGCCAGGATTTCTCCCTTTCTCATACTTCCAAGAACAGCAAAGAAAAACAAAAAATAAAAAAACTAAAAAAAAAAAAAAAAAGCACAACACCCCGGAGCCAATATTCAGCAAAAGAAAAATCTGCTTGAAATGACATCCACTCATCCTGCCTATATCTCCTAGCCAAGGTAGAACCAAGTGAAATCCACCAAGAGATTTTTCACACAAGAAGAAAAAGCCCTTGCTAATCTATGGGACATGAGTAGCAGCACCAAGTACTTCTCCAACCCCACATCCCTCAGTTTGCTCACTGACTCCTGCCAGCACAGCCTACATTAGGTCCAAGGGGCTACCTTTCTAGGAAAATCTATAGTTTTTTATGATAAGGTCTGATCCACCTTTAATATCCCTGGGAAAAGGGTCTCTAATCCACTGCTCAGCACAGTCAGGATGTGCTGATTCACCAGTTCCCTGAAGTAGCATGTGTCTACTGCACCAAGGAGCAGAACAGATGCAGAGCAGGAGGCAACCTCACTAGCACATAGTAGCGTTACTTTCAATCAAAAGCAACATTTTAGTGGAAGGAATATACCTTGAGTATTTCTTGATGATTTTCAGATGCATAAAGTCTACCATCCCGAACGATGTCTTCTATTAGTTCTTGGTAATCCTCTATTGAGAATGCACAAGAGAGTCATTTGCAGGTTCATTTCACTTACATATTCAATACCTCCCTTGTTTATACATGAAAGCCCTACCCCCAGAAGAACCAATAGTATCTGTCTCTCATATTAGCAGTTGGAATGTATTCCAAATACTTTTCTGTAAATAAACTGCAAATACTGTGTACTATGAAAACAAAGTTTACTCTGCTGAGCTGTTCTGCATCTGTCAAAATCAAAAGAAATTTAAATGCACCTAGGATTGTAGCACACATTGTAAGAGAGTAACCTGCTTTAATTCAGTTGCACTACTGAAACTTCTCTGTAAATACTCACAATCCATTCTTGACTCCTTTCTACAAGAGAAAAAAAAAAAAAAGTAAGAGGAAGCCTTCTTAAAGGACAACCCCCTTGGTCAATCCAAATTTGAAAAGCTTCAAAAGGAGTGGTGTTCCCTGAAAAATTATCTGCTCTTGATGAAACTCTGCAGAACACCATGGAGGGCTATTCCTCCACAATTACCCTAGTGTGAACAAATGCTTCACATTATTTTCACGTTGCTCATGCTGAGGGGCAAAGCCTCAGCTCCAGTCTTTCCCCAGTGACTCTGACAATGACAGTTGAAAAGAAGCCAGAATGGCAAGAGTTTCGAACATACTTATATTTCTCCTCCACTACACCTGCCACTATTTCACAAACATATTTCTAAGTTAGCCTGTGAGATTCAGAAGCAAAAGACTCAATGCCAGCAAATATCCCAGATCAGTTCCTGCACTGTTGTTCCTGCTGCATCACAAGTAGCATCCTTGCTCTAAGACTGTGGAACTCTCCTCCCTTCCCCTACAGACTATTTGCAGTGGCAATGCAACCGCCAGTCTGCCTGGCCCTCAAAATACCATTCTAAAACCTGGTGGCTGGAGCTTTCCTACCTTTGTTTTAATATTAGAGGGAAATAGCTTTAAGTATATAAGCATTAATCTGCATGGTTAACACAGCTTGTAGGCATGACAGAGCACTGGCCTGCATGCACAGAATGACCTGGTAATAGTGGGTCAAATAAGCATGTTTCACAAAAGTTTTCTAGAAAGGGTCAAATGCTGTAGTGCAGGAATCACCATTTTTGAGAGGTTTTATTCTATAGTAAAGTCTCTACTCTCAACAGCTTTGCAGAGCAATTGCCAGAACTCCCATCCCACAAAGCTCTGTGGGGGTGAACACCTCCAGGGGCCTGGCCTGAACAACACAGCTCTGACACTAGATTACAGCTGGTAGCAGTCACATGGTACACCACAGAAGCACTTGGGCTCTGCCCAATTCCTAAACAGGGGTAATCTGCCACCTGAAGTAACTCAAAATTGGGAAGGCATAAAGATGCATGAAAACCAGATGCAAGCTCTGAGTTCTGCATTTTTCCTTTGCAAGTCAGAGTCCAGAATCCCAGCTGTTTGTTTAGGTCTGTGGAGGACTGGAAATATGATTACACTTAAGACTGCAGCGCAATTGAGAGATCCTTAAACTATCTATAAATGAAAACAGCTACTGGAAGCAGTCTGATAGTGACACTGCTGAGAGTGCTGGGTTACCCCGCTTCTTAGCAGGGTCAAGGAGCCCACAAGGAGTTCTGCACTGCTACAGCTGCACTAGTCCACATATGCTCAGCTGTTCACATCCACTTACCATCATATGTTACGTAAGGAACCTGGAATCCTTTGGCGCTGTTCCCTTCATTTGACTTGAACTGGATCCACAGCTTCTTAGACCTAGAAGTGAAAGCTATAGGGCGTTCGTAGGTTTGACAGGTTTCATAGGTGGTCACTGAATTGGAGGAAGCTTTCAAAGAAAACACACAATAGGCAGTTATCTGACAATGCTTCACACTAATTAATATTTAGAAAATATGTTAAACTAGTATGACAAGAAATACATGTTTTTGTTTTTTGTTTTTTGGTTTTTTTTTAAAAAAAAGCATGTTTGTGGGTTTTTTTTAAAAAAAAAAAAAAGGAAAAACTCAAAATGTGGCAGGCCATCAATAAATGGCAGGCCATCAATGACTGACTTTTCGGTCCCTGAATATTTTCCCTGACTCTAAAAAACAGTCTACTGCTTGAAAGATGTGCTTATACTAGAAACTGAAGCTGTTTATTCACAGACCAAACACCTGTAGAGACTAGCAAGCATCCCTTCTTTCCTAATCCAGGCTAGCATTGCTTCGCATAATTCATGACTAATCAGCTTGAACCATCTACCTGTTCTTAAGAACATTTCTCTCTGAGTTCACTGACACATTATAGCCTTGCAACCTTGTTTCATCTGAGCAGCACTGCCAAACAGGATTTCTCAATTTGGCATAAAAAGAAATCACTACTCTTAAGCACAGTACAGCTGTGGTACATTTAGTTTTTGCAAAGAGCAACACACATGAGAAGCCTGTGTTGAATACTGAGATAGAAACCATATGCCTCAGTAGGTATTTTTACACTTACAGCTTTTTCGCATCACCAGGTAGTCTCCACACTCATCTTCTATTGGTAGAAATATCTCAGGAACCACAATTAAAATACGGCGTTTTGGGGGCGGGTTAATATTCCAGGTACATTCAGCATTTGCAGGATAGTCCCCAGGATAGTTTGGTGATTCAATATATCCAGTGTAATCTCCCAGTTCACCTCCACACTGCCTATCTAAAAAAGCAATACAATATACAAGGTTAGGAGAAGAAAGGGTATCCTTCAGCCCTTTCTACAGGCACTGTCACAAATAGTACATGAATGACAGGCACAGAAACTTCTATTTGCATCTGAGGCAGGTACTTTACTAGTTTCAATTCACATTGAATTGAAGCATGCCTGCTTCTGCCTTTATGGTTTAATCAATGTTAAGAAATATAAATATATATTCTTCCCTGTTAACATAGCAGGTCAACCAAGCCATAGCCAAGTAGCAAAGCACTTGTAAAATGACATAAAAGTGGTCAAGCAAGGATGCTTCACTTGCTTGTACCAGACAGGATGGGTTTTGTTTTTTTTTTTGTGTGTGTGTTTTTTGTTTGTAAAAGTATCAGCTGAAGTCTAACTGGAGTCTGCTCAAGTACCATGTCTGCAGCAACACAAATAGGGAGTACAGCAGGCCTTTTCCTTTCACAGATCAGCACCCCAGCAGTTAGAGAGGGTATGCCTCATGCAGAATTCTTTTTCTGCACTCCCCAACTCTGTGTGGCCACACAGGTCTAAGCACTACAGAATCCTAACAGCAGTATGTGGGTGTGACATGCTCAAGGAGCAGAGTCTCTAAGAGACACATATGCAGCTCCCAGAAACATTTTTGTGAGTGTATATATATCTGTGTGTTTATACGTGTCTGAGGTTCTTCTGAGGAGTTGCCTTTCTGCCTCCCTTTCTAATTTACCCTCAACTTCCCATGCTACAGCTACCATAATCTAGAACAGTGGTTCTTTTTGTAATTGCCTCTTTCAGAGATTGTTATTAAGAGAAAATGCTCACTAGATGTAGTAAAGTTTTGTGAACCAACTTACATTCCTTTTATAGAAAGGAAAGAAATTAGGATGCAGAGAACACAAATTCGGTCTGCTGTATCTTTGAAAAGAAGATTTAATAGCAAGACCAGAGTGACCGAGTACCAACTGGCAAGACACAATCATCACTTACCTTAAAAAGAATGATGAAACCAGTTTGCAGAAATGGTCTCCCATGAACCTCAATAAGCCATGTGGGATGAGATGCAAGCGGGCAGCACACTGCCTTCTCTCCAAGCTCCCTGGAGCAAAGCTAAATTTTGCCCTTAAGGCCACTCAGAATATTAATGGCCCGGTCTTTTTACTTATAACAAATGATCAGAATGATCTTGCTATACTTACTTTTGCACTGTGTTATATTTGTGGACCCATCAAAATCCGTAGTGGTGTTTCCAGGGCACGAAATGCAGAAATTTTGTCCAAATTCAGGTTGATATGTCCCAACTATACAGCGAATACACCGATGAGTTGTAGTATTATAAAAATGGCCAGGTGAACACTGAACTGGAGGGTATTTAAACAGACAGCACAGTTTAAAAAAAAAAAAAAGGAATTAATATGTTACAAAGTAATTTTATGCATTTCTATAGGACCTATTCTAATTTTAATAACCGAAGTCTCATATTTCTAAACTACTAGAGCAATAAAGCAGAGGTAAATGAACAGATTTTAATTTACATGGTCGCTCTGCAAGTTCAAACATCCCAAATGCAGTAATGTAGAGCAGTTCTGTGTGGAAGCAGTAACAAAAGATATGGGAGACTGAGTATAACCAGCATGGTTTTGAAAGCATGACACTGCACAAAATAGTGTCTTACCAAATGGTCTAGCCACCAATATTTACATGTAAATGAACAGCAAGTTCATCCTTTCTTCATTGCTAGCTTATGCCAAGCAGCACTTGCACTACAGCCACATGCCAGTGTACCGCTGTGATCAGTTCACCAAAAGCAGAGGTTGAAAACTTTTGTCCTCTACAGCTGGCACATTGCATCAATAGTAGCGACTACGCTTGATTTTGCTTAGCTATCCTAAAACCATTGTCATTTGTACTGATACCTAACAGAAAGCAGTCAAGAGCAAGAGCCATATATTACCTTTGCTCTCACCTCTATCCCCACCTTGTTTCTTTGTGGGACTAACAAAAATATTTTCCTATTCCTTCTGCCTTGCTTGGCAACTTTACCATTCTCAGCTTGACTTCTGAATGATCTACTACATTACCTTTCAAATGTAGTTTTCTACGTTGTACAGTCCCTTTTTTTCCTCCTATTCCTTTCAGTGTCTGCTTACTCCCAAATAAGTACTGTTGTTAAGACTTGTATTCAACTAGCTCAGTCTGGAGTCCTTCCCTGCATGCTCCACCCCCACCACCTAATCCAAACACTTCAGATACAAATTCCAAATTGTTCTCACACCTGTGATTTCAGATCTCATTTGGCCCCTTACACAGCAAATCCCTGAGGTATTCATTCCAGTTAATACAAAAAATTCCTTGAATCTCAATTCTTATTTGAAAACTGAACCTCATTTACAGCCCTATTTTTGTTTGTGTTAAGTGAAACTGAAATCAGTTCCTCTTATTTTGATCCAAGGTATTTGACCACTTTGTGTAACTTCACAAAATTAAGTATGAAAGCATTAACTATTTGTGGATTCAGTGACTCTTTGCTGAAGAAATCTGTTAACTATCACATCGCTACCAGTAGTATTAATTCTTCAAGCATACTGCGAGATTTGTCTATTATATTGCAATTCTCAATAATAGACATACTGACACGAGAGAGATCTCTTTATCCAAATCACCACCAAATGCTTGCATCATGATCTTACTTTTATCCCTTATGTTTACTTCATGACAATAGATTTTCTATTAACATTTTACTTTCTCTGCATGGTTATTTTGATACAAGTGATATTCTTTTATCCATGCTTTAATACATTGAGTAAACCCCGATACCGATTAATACTTCCTCTCTCTCCATTGGCACATACTTTATCAGTGTTTTCAAACACAGCTTTGTAGCTCTTTCTTTTTTTTTTTCTTTTTAGATACCTAAAATGCTAACAAGAAATTTCTTCATTCATAGATGTTTCATCTCCCCTCCTGATTTTTATTTCTGTGAGGAAAACCTTGGGAACTGATTGACCGCAGATCTATTGCAGTCAAGTTTACAGGACCATCTGAGGTACTGCACAGTTAAATCAAATGATGGCTTTTTGCTCAGTGTTTTAGGCATTCAATCCATTACAAATATGAAAAAGTGATTGATTATTTTTTTCTGAGACTTTTTTTTCCCCTTGTCATTCCTTTACATAGCTCTTCACAGATCAGTCACTTCATTGAACATCTTCTATCCATCTCCAGTCCCTCCTTAAGAATTATATAAAAATCAGTTAGAAAAAGACTTAAGGTTTTATTGAGCTTCCTTGCAGCTGGGCCGGGCCAGCCAACTATTATACCCCTGGAAGGAGACCCTGGGAAGGAACACAACCATTAGAACACCCCACTTGTAGCAGCAGCAATAGCTTTTCCTTCAGAGCATTACAGTTCATCATATCTTGATCTTACCTTTGGTCTCACAGTCCTGAAACAAGGATGCACTGGTGTGTCTTGTCATTAGTCCTCCTCCACATGGAAAGCAGGTTACTCGACCAGCTTCAGGCTGGTATGTTCCAAGGGGACATGGCAGACAGGGTTTAAAGCCATCAGGGGAATATTCACCTGGTGAGCACTGATCTAGAGGAGGAAGAACACACTTGCTTCAAAGTGTACATTATATGTGAAGATATGTTAACAAGCCTGCACAGAACCCAAAACACCGTGGTGCAAATGATTTCTTCTTTATTTGGGAAGCATGGGCCAGGGTTTCAGAATTGAATGCAAACAGTAGATAAAACTCAATAAATACGCTGCACTCTGTAAACTTGAAATAGGTACAGATAATCTCTGGTGCTGGTGAGCTCTTCTGTGGACTGGAATGGATTTGACACTTTATTGCAGGGATGCACTGGACACAAAGCCTGTCAAGTACTCTGTTAATCCGTACAGAGTGGTAATGTAGTGATTAGCTCCTCTTTCTAGCTAAATATCACTTCCCTACCCTCCATCCCCCCAAAAAAAGACAAACAAACAAAAAAGTACTGAAATTAAGTCATCAAAAGTGTACTTCCAAAATTCTAAAAGTATTTTAATCTTAGTAATTGGTGAATCATCATACCATTAATGTTACTGAATTGTCCTAAGACCTCAATCACAAGGAACTGTGCAAAGACCTTTAATGCAGAAATATTATTGCCATTTCTCCGATCCCCCGTCTTGGATAACGATTATCCGTGTGCTAGATTACTGTGTTCTGTATGGTGCATGGATAGCATTAACTCAATCAGATTGGTTTCACTTGAGCACACCCTAATATTAACTAACAAACCCAGGGGTATTTATGGATATCTGAAAAAATAGCTGTTTTTCAAACTATTCACAAAAGAACTAATTTCAGTGCCAGTATTTAATAATTACCCTGCTCTGGAAGGCACAAAATAGTGTTGCAGTTGTTCAGCTGCACTGAAAAATTCTGTCCTTTTAAAGACCTGTTATGATAATAAACTGTTAGTTTTAGTTTATAGCTCCAATAAATCACCCAGTGAATAGCTGTTTTGTTAGGAAGTTAAATTGGCCTTGGCTTCATTTCAGAATATATGACTAACAACAAGCAGGGTATTAACTACCGGTCATGATCAATGATGAAGAATTTTGTTTACTGCTGATTTCACTGAGTGGAATAGTGAGTGTTCCTCCTCAACTTAAAAATAAAATAGAGCTGAATTAAGCAATGTTCTGTAGCTTATCAGTGAAAGCTAGTGAGGAATGAGACCATCCTAGCTCTTGATTCTAACTTTTTCCACCACACATCACTTTTGCTTTCATAAGTACACACATTCGTTTGCTCCCAAGCTTTTCAAGTCTTTCTTCATTTTATAAACATTTCTACAGAACACTCATCTCTGTACTGTTTGTGCAACTTGACAAACATGACCAAATTAAAGCTTTCACTGTAACAATCCTAGTAAAGTAAGGAAAGACTATTTACAATTCTGCAACAAGGAAACACAATCAAGGTTAGTAAAGGTGATTCTGAGAGGTGGCTACCGATTTCAGAAACCTAGAAGCAACGAAAAGATAGTGCAAATCTCCTTCCCCACAAAAGAGCTATGGTCAATCCATCCTCTAAGCAGACTCACTAGGGGCTCTCTTGCCCTCTGCTCTGCTCACTTAACCTTTTTCCCCATCATTTTCACCACCATTATGTGAAAATGTTACTTCTGAGAATCTATGCCATCTGATCTCTTGACAACTTTACCATCCGCATCTCACTTGCCTTGAAAACTCATGTTGTAAAACTGAAAATCTCCCTGTGGAATAAAATGGAAGTGATCTAAGTATTTCAGAATTATTTTTCAAAATCTGCAATTTTTGGAAATTTGCATCAAGTAGATAAGCACTAGAAGCTCTCCTTGAACATCACTGAGACACTGAACACAGGGCATCTTTTCAGGCACTGTGCAACTTAACTCTAAGAGCAAGAGAAAGAAGGGGCAGAAGCATTGGATGGTCTGTTTCTGTGCCTTACCTCCACATTGAGACACATTGTGAGCTCCAGCTAATTTTTGGTTTCCAGGATTCTGAGAACTGGGGCAAGAGTCACAAGTTATTTGTCCTTCCTCATCCTGGTAAGTTCCATTAGGGCATAAAACACAGCTTTCTCGTTCCCCATCATAGTATGATCCCACACTGCAGCTAACTAGCAACAAGAAAAAATATCAGGTCACTAACATTTTGAGTTTGTGGGCTCAAAGCCAAATTAGATGGTCAAGCAGCTAAACTACTATCTTAAGTACAAGGTGATACAAGGACTACGTTTGCATAAGCATTACAGATGACTAAGTGTCAGAACTGCAATTTGGCAGTTTCTGTGGCACGACGAAGTCTGACATTTCATTTCAGCTTTTTAACCTGACGTCCATTAAGCAGCACAGGAGCTAAACTTCAACTGCTTTCCTGCTATCTTTTACCTGCACAGGGTGCCCCTGTGATGCAGGAACTGTATCTGTGACTGTGACAGTGCCCACAAAGCAACACAGGAACAAGACAGTGAAAGGCAGAACTGCATAAAGTCAGCCTGAGCGAAAATAAAATGTTTCTGTTTGACCTGTACAGATGAGTTCAAGAATTTAATTTTGATTTTCCTAAAAGGTGGCAACTCCCGAAAGAAAACAGCAAGAAAAAAAAGAAAAGTCCAGCTAAGGTACCCCACCAACACTGTAATGGGGTATCCAAAACCAACTTTAATAAGCTTTGTAGAGTGGTGGCCTACAGTTGTAAACTAATTGAAGAGAGAAAAGCCTGATAGCTGAAGAGTAAGGGGAGGAAAGGACAGGCTGGTCCAACGTGGAAAAAAAAAAAAGCCATGTGATGTTTACCTGTCTCTTTCAGTAGGAATTACTGCTTAAAAGTAAGAATCTGTGTTCAGGCAACAGCAGCCTGCAGGAAGCAAACCAGACTAGCAGAGGAGTCCAAGTGGACAAGCAATTGGCCTGTGCGTCCATGGGCTTTTGGTTCGTAGGATACAGATTTAGTTGTTTATGGTCTAAGGAATATGTTGGTTTCTTTTACATGACTACATCACCAAGCTTTTCTTAGCAGCACAATTTGAGCCAACAACACATTCCCTGTAAACTGCTCCCAGTTCTTCTCCAGAGAGGGGACTCAGAGAAGTTCCAAACACAGACCGCTCATCTACAATCCCAACTCAAGCACAGAGCAGGGGTAATGAGGAAAGCATGTTTGAAAGCTCACAGCACCCACCAGGACCCAGTTTATCATAACAAACAGACCTGGTGTTAGGCTCAACTACAGTACCAATAGGCTCAATTATAGTACTCAATTATAGGGACAGTGTAAACGCAGAAATCATCCCACAGAAATCCATAGGACTGACCGTGCATGAAATTAGGATGACACAAATGAACCCCCTCAGAAAACAAAACAACGGCTACAACATAATAAAAACAGAACAAACAAACAAAACCACCAACAACAAAATTTTAAGAGTTCAAACTTCTCCTGTCAAAGCATTTGGTTAAGTGAAACTGAAAATGTTTATGGGCCTTGTTTCAAAAAACTAGAAACTGAACCGTCCTTCCTGACACATGGGAAATACCCACTCAAAACAAGATCTGAAGATTTGCAAATAATGACATTAAATCAGAATTCCACTGGCTGTCTTGGCTCTTTTTTCAGAAACCTGATTGTTTTTCTCCAAATGAACAAAAGAACCAATTGCCTCTAGTAGACTTGATTTCTGCTGCCACTGTCTTTGTTTGTCTTCAATGCCCATTAAAAAGAAGTCTTGAATCTCATGCAGCTGTTTTAGAAAAAAAGAGGGAAAAAAAGTGAAAGCTTTTCTGATGCAAAAACAAGAAAAGAAAAGAAGGGGGCACAGGGAACAAGGATTAACAGTTACAAAGACACTTAAAGGCTCTTCCTCTCTTTTCAACACAGTAGCCTTTGAGTGTTTGCTCCTCTAGACAAATGCTGTAGTATCGCAGTGGCTAAGAAGGTGAACGTTATAAAGGAGGTCAAGATCCACCATTTTACCATTTTCTTAAGATTCATGCTTTGACTTTACAAGGATAATGACCAACAACTCATGCAAATCAATTCTGAAGCAGCATCCTTTAAGTTATTGTAATTTAGCAGTTCACACACTTAGGTTACATGAGATGGTTACACATCTTAAGGATTTGTGTCTTACGTCCACGGCTGCAAGCACAGTATCATACAGACAGCTCTCTCCCACATTTGATAATTTATTTCTTCTTGTCAGTTTTATAAAAACAAAAAATGTGACTTACAGTTCTCTGTTGTGTGGAAATACAATGAACTGTGAGAACTGCTAGGCAGCATTTCGATTTTCTGTTTCAGTATGTTTTTCTGTGCTTTCATAATGCCAGTATCATCCTATATCTAAACTTTAATAAGACTATTTTGTATGAAATATTTATCTTTTATTTACATCCTCTAAACTAAGGGGATAACTACTGAGCAATGAAATGCATCAACACCTCTCACACAAGGTAAAACTGCTCAGCATTTACATCAGAGCAGTACCTATACTAGTGCTGCTCTCCTGTTTACTGTTCTCCTAAGTGACAGCTCCATGAATGGATGAATCCATATGTAACTCTGCAGCAAGGGCATGCTTGTATGTCTTTGTATACAGCAAGTTCAGAGAATGTTATTTCTGTTTGCCTCCCTCCATGTATGAAAATATTCATGTATCTAACACAAAAAATACCAAACAGAGCAAGGCATACTTTCAGCTCCTTGAGGCATGATCAATGTATGACAGTGTTTTAAGTGATGGAAAGCACAGATAACTTGCGTGTTGCTTCTCCCTCAGTGGAAAATGCCTGTGGGCAAAGGGCCCCAGTAGATACCTATTTCTTCTCTTTCAGCATTTATGTTAGTAGTAAAGCAGATTCTGAAAAGGAATTGTCAGTATTTAAACAGTTGGTCTTTGGCTGTTATACCTGCCTGAAGTCTAGCTCATACTGGAGAATGAATACCTGTAGACAAGATTAATGAATGAAATTGCATTCTCCCCAAGATAAATCTTCTCCTCTTGAAGTAGCATGTAGCTTTATATATAGTAGCATGTATATTTTTAAAGATAAGATTTACTTCAGTGTGGAAAGATCATATCCCTGCTGCAAGAATCCAGAACTCTCTGGAAAGGTTGATGAAGTTTCCATTTTGCTACATGCATTTCCTGTGATATACGTGAATGGAGACCCACTGCAGGCTGCTCCATGGAAGTCATTCTCAGGACTTCAGACAATGAAACAATGTGAGCAGATACTAAATGTAATTATTCATTTGCACAGAGCTCACACTTCACAAGGTAGATAAATACAACATTTGGACCTCAAAGGCATAAGAAAATTTCATACAGAACTGTATGTTAAATAGCAAATTTGAAATAAAATACACCAGTGCCTGGAATCCACTGTGAAATCCCTTTTACTATCAACAAATGCAGCAGACACACATGCAACCATGTCCTATGAAGGATGATGAACTGCCTTGGAAATCATGTCTAATCTGTTCCTGGTGCCTCTCCAGATCTTTTATTCAGCGGTGTGTCCCACTGCAGTCACTAGGAGTTAAAGCGGGGAAATCAGGCAAAGTACTACTTCACCAGAAGTGCAAACCAAATGCAGTTTAGCTTCCTGCTTTGATTTCAGGCCAGTTACTTATGATAAAAGCTGTCAGAGCATGTGCAAGACTTCTCCTTTTACACTGCTAAAATACAATTAACATTTCAGACAGTGCTGTACCAGTAGAAGTTCACCACAGAAAAAGGGCCTGTCCAAGACTGTCTGAATCAATAAAACTATACCTAGCCTAGCAAAATTCCAAGTATTTTGCTTTAAAAAGTGAACTGAAACCTACACTTCACTTACTATCTGTATCACAGAAGATTTGTAAGTTCTTAAACTTACTTATTCCCCCTCACTGTTTTCTGCTCCTCTGGTCAGACTGAACAAAATCCTTTTGCCAAAGTTCTCTGCCTGTCCTGAGACCACATCCACCAGCTGCACTGAGTCCATCTGCTGACCTGGTATGTCTTGCTATGGAGTCACTTTCTCACCAGAATCGTTAGCACATCTAGATAAACAAGGCCACACCTGTCCAGAAGTTTTCAGCAGTTCTGCAAAACAATCAAATCAAAACAAAACGAAAAAATCCTGCTCTTCTACACACATCCCTGAGCTAGCTTCTTCCTCTTCTTCCACACTGTTCCCACTTCATTCTCATCTCCCCAGTCTATTTCTTAGCTCCTTCTGACTAGCAGTCAGAGCAGCAGCAGCAGCCACCCAGTGCTGCCTTTACCATACACACTGGGACAATCAGTTTTTCTAAGGAAATGAGGCGTATGTAATAGTGCTGCTTCTATGTGTACTTTTATGTGCCCTCAGCAACCAGTGAACTTTCTGTCCAGCTTCCAGCAATTTGACAAAGGATGTAGAGAAGTTTTAAAGGTATTAAGTTTCTTTAAGTTTAATGTAAACACGTGAGGAACATTAAAGTGAAGGAGAAAGATGTTAGCATCTATGCAAGTAAAAGGTGTGGTGGAATTGCTCGATCAGAGCAAACCTGCACTAGGATATAGCCTTAACAGTTCAGCTAGAAAAAATAAGCTTCATTTGGCAATTTCACCTTTTCAGCCATAAGAAAATTGAACCACAAGGCATGATACACACTGGCAATCATAGCTTTCTAGATTCACTGCTCTCACCAGTACTTGTTAAGATGTTTAGGGTCAACTGTGGCACCAATCTCAGCAAAAGAAGAATCTGGACTTTTACAAGTTCCTCTTCTAAACAGTTAGCTTCATATGCTCAGTGTCTCTGATCACTTCTGCCGTACACAGGCTATTTGTGCTGACCTTAAAGTTTTCCAGGCATTCTCCAAAAGCTCTCTTTCTCTCTGAACACGACAAAAATGCCACATAAGCTGTTCATTTGTAATAAGAAAATAAATTTGCTCTGTGGCTACCTAAAAATATTTTTTGTCATTTTCTTGTTGGTCCATTTCCTAATTGCAACTCACATTAGTTGACGATGAAAGCAAATGGACCCAGAGAAAAATTTGTCTCCTTTACCTGCACTATTTTTTAGGTTACACATTGCTGTTTTTTTCAGACAAAATTACAAATGGGCTTGAAAGCATATTGTGCTCTGTACAATGGACAGAGAGAACATTTTTCAAACGATTCCTCCAGCAGCAGATACAACAGTTTGAAAATATCAGTGTAAACACAGCTTGATGAAGTCTCTGAAGTTTTGCAGACTTACTATGCCACAAAAAAAAATATCAAAACTTACAGCTTTTTCTGACAGAATTCCTGAGTAATTCCTTATGCCTGCTTGCTCGCACAGATGTTTTAAACACTAATTCATTTTTCTGTTCTATGAATCCAAGTTTCTAGAGTTAGCAAAACAAAATTTGAAAATCTCTTCTAAGCCTGAATGGGTTGCAGCTGGAAGACGTACTAATTCAACCTGACAAGCATTTTAAAGGCTTGCCGATTCACAAAACCACTTACATGCTACATACCCTGTGCAGCCTGAATTAGCTGTCACGGTTGTTAGGTCCCCGTTAAGATAACATCTGACCCTTCTCCTTAACTTTTGTGATTTAGAAGCATTTATTGTGGGCTGCACTATGGTGGTGCCCTTTAGTGCCATGATAATTAAGATTTTTCTCTGTACTGGCCTAGAAAATCCCTTTTCTCCATGAAGTTCAAACTTTATCATGAAGACTCAGAGCTCAATCAATAAAGAGAATTGTGGCTGTATCAAATTCTGCTCAGCTTTTTATTTGGAACGAGCAAGACAAGAAACTTTCACAAGTTCAGAAGCACAGTGTTACACTAGATATTAAATGTGGTGTTCTATAAATAACACCGGTGATCTCAAGGCACAGATGTCTGATGCTAACACCCCAAGTTTACTCCTAGGGAAAACCCTTGGAGTTTACTGTAGACTTTGTGTCATCCATATTGAAGCGCTTACTGAGCCCTTATTCTACACTATCATACAGCAATTGCCAACAATACGTGGAGAGAGGCACATATCAGGAGCACAAACAGTTAACTTAATTACATCACACACAGCCCTCCTCTCTCCTGGAGAAGCTTCCCATGATCCCCTCCCTGCTCACCAGACCCAGGCAAAGCCAAAACACATGTGATGGTTTGTTTCTAATTTACATTTACTTACCACATCTGTTACCCACATGTATCTGTCCTACACCACATGACTGCTGTGGCTCTGACAGCTTGAGAGATTTTCTGGCCACTTCGTGGTCCATGCCAGAGACACGAACACGGAATTGGTCCCTGTTGACTGTCTTCCGTAAAGTTCGAATGGTTTTACGAAATCTCTTTTCAGTCTTTTTTCGTGCACAGCGCACATCACATGTTTCTGAAAAGTACCAAGGGTGCAATCTGCTATTAGTGACCAGACACAAAAGTCTACCCAATGCAAAATGTCAGTGCCAATCACTGAGAAAGTAATTTCTTTGAACAAGTCTGAAATCCTTAAGGACAACACCATCAGGCTTCAAGAAAATTAATCAGACCAGAAGACTTTAATCCATGGACAGCTTTTTAATCTTAGAAACTTTTCCCATCTCTCAACTTTTTTGGAAGCAGAAAAATTAACTTTCAAAACAGGAGATACTTTTTATTATAATTTTGCATAAATGAAGAAGTGGAAAAAAAAAAAACAGAAAAGAGCAAACTGTAAGAAGCTTCAAATCGCACCTTGGATTATTTTCCAACCAACCTGTTACCTCCTTTTGGTTTGTTTCAAGCTCAAAGTCCACAGTGATAAAAATCTCTCTAGTTGCTGGCAGTCTACTGACGGCTCCATGAACTTTCTTGCCAGAGCTGCATGTTAGGTTTACATAGTGCAATCTCTCCGTTAGTGAATTATGTCTTTCTGTATGAACAAAATTAAAGGAAGCAAAAGCTTGGCCAGCTACGTTATTAGATATTCACTAATATTCAGTGTATATTTTGTCACAAAAACTTCAAGGGGAGCAAGTGATTCACTCCACTTGCCAGTAAACAAATAGTTTGTCCAGTTTCTCAGCTGGTGTATCCTCACGTAGAATCGTGATTCCAGTGCACCTATGGACGTACTGTCAGGTGAAAACTCTACAGCTGCAGTGGTCAGAGGCATGATTTGCTGCTAGGATTAGAACTTGGCTGAAGTGCTCAGCCTGCTTCCCCTGGATTTTGCTAGCTGCCATTGAATTGCTTCAGCACTATCTAAAGCATCTTAAAACCATGGTGCTACCTGCACCAGACAGACCACCTGAGGGAAAAAATTCTGCATTCATACAAGCCATGTTAAAAACATGTTAGCTTATAAGGGTGTTTAAACTAAGCCATGGCTGCATCTAAAGGACGTTTGAAGACCATTTGCAGGGTTTCAGTGAGGAAACAATATTTATTTGTAAAAAAAAAAAAAAAAAAAAAAAAAAGATCCAGAATAAGCTCTGGTTCTGGATCATATACTCTTTAGAGTATCTAGCATAGTTTATCACTGTTACTCTTCTAAGGACAAACAAACTGACATGCTGATTCATAGTATTATTTAGTAACTTTTTTTTTCAAGTATATATATTCCTCATTTTCTGCTGACTTTGTAAATTCTCAGACTATACTTTCTGTCTTAGAACAGACGGAAGAGCTGACCTCACCATCTGGGGCTGCTGAAGTATGAGGAAGAGAACAGAAAAGAGGAATAACCCTTTAGCAACAGAGTCATCATAAGAGGCCCAGAGACATCAGACAGTAAGCAGCAGGGAAGAAATGAATGAACTGAAAGAAGGGTTAGAGAGAGAGAGAAAAAAAATTGAAGAGAACAAAAAGTATGTTTGATTTTACTGACAATTTACTGGCAGTCATACAAAAAAAAATAAAAAGGAGAAGGACCTTCATAGCAAACTGTTAGGTTGTCACAGGGAAGTCCTTGTCACCTGAAGCAAGTACTACAAAAACCATGGCTGGGAAGGAGTATGATTCATGAGGCTAATAAGGAGAAGAAAGTCTGCAGCTCTCTAAGCTTTATTTATGGTACACTTCACATCAGGAAAGCACTTTATAACCCCTGAGCTATGGCTCTAACCTGCTTACCTGCATTTTTATATTCATACCTGGTATCATCTGTTCCAGACCTTCTTGAAACATCTCAGTCTTTTTCAAACTACATTTTCCTTCATTTAATTTAAAGGTTACGCTTATCTTGATGGCTGAAATATCTTCAGGAAGAAACAATGAAATGTTATGTTAAAAAGGAGTAGAAAAATTGGATTACCCTAATACGACATCATAATGATGTTATCAAAAAAATGTGTATATATAAAGTGAAAAGTGGTCATCACAGAACACCTAAAGAGATGCCAGCTTCCTGCTGCTGTGAAGCTAGTTCACAATTGGAATGGGAACAAAGTGTGATAGATTTCAAATATGGACAGAGATCAAATCCAGATGTGCTTCTGTGTAAAATCAAATAAATGTTGGCTGAAATCAAAAGAGATACTTCACATCAAGAAGATTCAGAAAAGTAGCTTACGTTTATATAAAATAGTACCTTTTATCTCTTTAGCTTCAAATGCTTTCTAAACTCCATTGACCAACAACTCAACATAGAACCTGTAAGTTGCCAACACTGCCCAATTTGGATGTCTAAAATGAGGCATGACACTCCTAGTCTCACTGTTCATCTCACTACTGATCCTTTTCTCTTCCATTATTCTTAAGTTTTAGTCTGGGTGATGCTGATGAAGCAGTACAAGAGGAATTTTCTGCTGTAATCATGAAGAAGAGGAAGGAAAAATAGAGGGAGTAAAATGGAGAGGAAAAATAGAAGGAAAGCCAACAGAACACACTTATTTCAATTACCCAATGAAAGAAATCAGTCAAATCATGCAACAGTAAATCTAATTACCCAGCCAAGTGGATGCATTTGTATTTTGCTGCTTTTTCTTAAGTTGAGATGAGCTGCCACAGGTGAGGGTGTAAGCATCTTGTGTTCCTAACAGACAGACCATACAGACAGTAAAGACATAGGCTTTGTGCACAGACTGAAGACCCCCATAGTTTATAAGACATTCGTTTGATGATCTGCATCACCTTTTTCAATTATGTTATTCATAAAGTACTCCACATTCAAGTTTGTCTTTTTATAAGCAATCTAAAGGGTTCAGGAAGAAAAGAATCATCTGTCTAACAAGCACCAGATGGATCTGCAGGCTGTGTCCTGAGGGGTGGAAGGGCTGTGCAGGCAGAAGCTCAGACCCCATGCAGGGCTGGAATGCCTTCGCGCCATTCAGCAGCAACTCTCAGGGCCAATTAAGGAATGGCCCAAGGAGCACAGAGAATTCTGCCCTGTCCTCTCCAGCTTCAAAAAGACAGTTGTCATGAGAAGGGAATCTGAGGGTAGAGTGTCTATAAAGGATATGAAAAGGGGGGCTTCCTGGAACACTGACAAGGATATGGTCCTTTATCTATAGTGCAAGAGGAATAGTCTCTGTTGATTGTCTACTTCTTGGGGCTTCCATGAGGGTTACAAGCTTTGCTACTCTTGCACTCTCTATGGAATTAAATGCTCGCAGGTTTTGTTTTGTTTTTGTGGTTTGTTGTTGGGTTTGGGATGTTGTTGTTTGTTTTGATTTTGGTTGTAGGCTGTGGTTTTTTTTGGACTTACCAGAAACTACCTGAACATCCGAAGTGCAGCTTAAGAGGCATCTATCACTCCCACCACTCTTAATACAGTGCAGCAATACCTTGGGTGACACATTAGCAGGCAAAGGCCCCTTTAATTCTAAATAGGATAAAACAAATACTCATGGGAGAAGTAAAACATCTACATATGCAATACTAAGAAAATGTCATGCAGCTTCTTATGTAGATGGTACCAGAGAACACCCATGAAATCAATATGCTCTTTAGACAGAAAAAGAAAGCAAAATCAAACCACTGGAGGATCCCACCATGATCATCAGTAAACTCTCATGCAGGGAAACAAAAGGACATAGATAAAAGCAGAGGAAAGAACATCAAAGTCCCTCAAAGTATCTCCTGTTTTTTGTTTGGTTGGTTGGTTTTGGTTTGTTTTTACCAGTTTAAATTTCAGTACCATCATGTCTGATTAAAAAGTAAAGCAGAATACAGAGAACATTGACTCATACCACTTAACTGGACAGATCAAGGTTTCAGATTTGACTACAACCATGTGGCCTTCAAACATTTCAGGAGTGGTAACGTATCTGCTAGGCACCTTACCAACACAATCCTTTTTATTCCAGTGCAATTTGTAGTTAGAGTGACACAGGCATTCATAGTCTCCCAGTGTGTTCACACACAGCTGTTGGCAACCACCGTTGTTGATGCTACATTCATTAATGTCTATAGAGGAAAGGTAAAAATAGTTTTTTAAAATAACTTTTACCAAAGTCCTGCATTCTTACTAACACAACTAGATAAATTTGTACAAAAATATCTCTTAGTAGGGTCTAGAAAAGGTCTTTGGAATGCCATCTGGAAACCCACCCTGAAATAGTTTTGTTTTAATGAAAATCCTTCAATGAGTGTCAAAATCTATCAAATGTTGTGGGAAAGGAGATGTCAGGTATGTCCCTGAATGACATATTAGAAAAAAAATATCTCCAGCCTCAGCAATATGTTAACAAGTTAACGAAAGACCACCAGATCAAGTCTGCATTGCACTGCAACTAGTTCATTAATATTTCCATTTTGGAATAAAGACAGACGATGTGGACAAGATTCACAGTGGCCAACCCTCCAAAGTGCTCAGATAGATACATCTATCATAGAACACTATTTGATTCCAAGTGTGCAAATAACACCACTGAATCACCACAATCCCAGTTAGTCAATTTAGCCAATTTCATGGGCCTTGCCCAGCCCAGTAATGGCCAAGAGGTGGAGAAACTACCAACAACACTAACTGCCTTTGGTGCACTGTTGCTTGCTGATGCAGAATACACTTTCCATTGCATTATCCTGAGCTCTGCTGAACAGCAATAAATGGCAGTTCCTTCCCTTACTACTTCCAGAAAGACTTCTCGATCTTTGGCTGAATTTCTGGGCTGAAAGTGTTGTAAACAGTAACACAAAGTCCAGTTGCAGGCCATTCACCAGTGGTGTACCACAGGGGTCAATACTGGGGCCAAGGCTATTTATCCTCTTCATTAAACCTGGATGATGGAACAAGAGTTCACCCTCAGCAAGTCTGCAGCTGACACAAAACTGGGAGGAGTGGCTGATACACCAGATGTTTGTGCCACTATTCAGAGGGACTTCGACAGGCTGGAGAAATAGTGTGACAGGAATTGAATCAACGTCAACAAAGGGAAATGCAAAGTTTGATGTCTCTGCTTCTTGGATCCACCCTGATAGCTGCTTGTCTCCCTCAGCTTTATGACAATTACACATAAACCTACAAAGCTACCACCAACGAATCCCTTATGAGACTCGGTGAGTCCCAGAAAGTTTGTGCAACTGAAGGTATCCAAGAGGTAATTGGAGTACTTGTCAGTGCTTTCTCCTACCACTTGTTTCCCTCTTGACACAGATAATCATTTGGAGAAAATGCTGTGAAATAGATGACAAAACTGAACTGGTTTCAGGGGAAAAATGTTCTACTAGCAGAACTGAGATAGCAGGAGTAGGAACGAGCAACAGAAGAATGATGAAAAAAGAAGGGAACACCTTAAAATTGGTACTACTGCCTAAGATACTACAAAATCAGCTCAAATCCTTACTTTTAACTGACTTTTTGGTAGGATTATGCAGGCAATGGCATCCTATTATCTCCAGTACTTAGTGGCTTCTTCCATATAGCTCAGAAGGTGTACACTCAGTACACCTACCAGCTGTGACAATTGTCAGCAAATGAAGGAGTTACTGTGGTACAAGGATTAGCATCTGAACAGTTTATATGTTGCGAAGAGAAAATTAGCACCCAATCTGTCAATATCTTCCTCTCTTTTCTTGAACTGTTTGTGTAGTAAAGTAATAAAACATTTAGGAATATCATTCTTGGCCAATGTAAATTAATGGTACTGCATCAGATAAAGCTCCAATCTAAGTCATATAACAATCTGCAATATGCACAAGGATAACCTGCAAAATTGTAATATTCAAAATCATCCAGAGCACCCTGTTCTTAAAAGTCCTATTCAATTCACTGTTCATTGAAGTCAATGAGACTTTTGCATATGAAAAATAGGTCGAATCATAGCTTTCACGTCTAGGTGTAAAATGCATCTGTTCTAATAGTCACAGGTGCTTTCTGAATGCTGGCTGGGAAGGGAAAATAATTTGAGCACAGACAGAAGTGAGCTAGGTTAGTTTTCACTTTTGCTGTGTCTCCTTATTACAGTAAAGATTTAAATTTACCTTGAATGCCTTATGTATATATGTAGGCACACGTCCTACACAGACACTAACTAGACCTGTGGCAATAGCACTCTACGAGTGTGGCCTGCAGTATTCCTTTATAACTCACCTCCACAGTGTGTGAAGCCATAGAGAGCGTATCCTTTGTTACAAGTACACTCAAAAGTGCCTGGATGATTGATGCACGTGTGGTCACATGTCCGTTCAAAAGAGCATTCATCAATGTCTGCAAGTTTTAAAGGGATGCATTAGTATTTTTCAGCCTGAAAAGGGAGCACTTATGAGATAACGAAGTTGGACAGAGAGATGTGCAGATTTAAGTAAACTAAGCAAATTCTTTTGAAGTAAATAATGCAACACAAGAAATGACAACTTCTAAGAGACCAATTAGTTTGCCAAACAAGCTTTCTCTTGGCAAATATGAAAACTGTTGCTACGTTTTAACAATTATGTTTAAAAGACATTACTCCTCTGCTTTGAAGGAAAAGAAATGCTGGCAGAAACTCTTATTTTGTTAAGAAAAGTTGGCTTATCATTAAAAGCACCTAAAACTTCTGTGACAGTACATTCAGCACGCTATATAGCAATGTTCCCAGATATAAAAAAGTTCCCATCAACATTATTGGCACATAACGTCATACTTCTTTTCATTAAGGTCTTGGGTGCACTTCAAGCTACCACTTTTGAAACAATCTAGGGAAAGTAACAGGAGTGACAAACAAAAGGGAGATGTAAATCTTTAAAATAAACTCATAACCAATTCTATTTTAAAAAAATCCAGAAAATCCTTTAGTTTTATACTAAGTTTGGTATGTCCTACATCTAACCTAAAAAGGACAAAAACGTGCCAAAAACACAGGTGAATTTTTTTTTTCTGTTGGTTGGTTTAGTTTTCTGAAATTAATCATTAAATGTCAAATAGTTGTCTAAGAAACAGAATTAGAAACAGAATTACTCATTTGCCCAGCTCACTGATCCACTTTATGTTGTTTCATACTGTAGCTTTGCCAAAGCCACAGACACCATTTTGATCATTACTTTTTAATGTACTTAACCAGCCTAAACAAGGTTGCTCAATCTGTATGTACACACCGTTATACAATAAAGCAAATATGTTCTGTAAATCTCACAGTAGAAATTTATGTCTTCCTAAAAATCAAATGTTTCCATAGTGGTGTAGGGAATAGTTATTCCCATCTATGTCTACAAGCCTCTCACTTCACAGATAAGATGACTTACTTTTTTTCTTTAAATAAAGAACACATAGCATTTAAATGTCCCATTAAGCAAAACATTATTTTGCTGCAATGGTGAAATAGTCTTTAGGATGGATGTAGAAATATTGGCTTCATTTCTCCCTGTAAGTTATTTTAAGATCATTAATAGAAGGGGGAAAAAAAGCATTATCTTCATCAAGAGATTTTTAATATGATGCTATCTGCACTGCTTCCAGATAATATCTCACTATGACACTAAACATACCTCCTACAATAGTATCAAAACAACAGCATTAACTTAACAGCTGCTTCAGAAATTGAAAAACACACACACACACACGAAAACGCAAGGCATGGAAATTCTGGAGTCCATTATCACTTCATCATTGTGGTAGATGTCCAAGCCATGCTGATTTGTTCTACTTTTATTGCCTCTCCAGTGCACATACCTTGACAAGATTTCTCATCTGTTAATAATTTGAATCCTTTTCTGCAGCTGCAATCAAAACTGCCAACAGTGTTTTTACAGAAATGATCACAGCCTCCGTTATTAGATTGACATTCGTCAATATCTGTAAAAACAATAATAATTTTAAAAACTTCAGTGAATAAATAGAATATATTCAACATACTTTCACTAACAAAGACAGAAAATAATCATACCCAATTGGCTGGAGAATCCCAGAAACAAAACATAACAAATCTGCTACAAATCTTGAGCAAGTTCAGGTCTAGATCTTAAGAATGACCTGGCCCATTCTATTTCATGATTGTGCTAATTTGCTTTCAGCTACATTTGAGTACATGTATTCACACAAGACCTTTTCCCTACCTTTTGTTTGGAAACATTTTGACTTAAACATTCTCTAAGAGGCTTTAGCTTTTTAAAAGTCCTCTGAGTTCCCTCTTCCTAAGCCCTGACAAAATCTCAGACAGAATAGACTTCCTGAGCTATCCTATCCTTTTCATGCCAACATTAAAATGAGTTATCTAATATTAATTGACTCAGGCATGGGGATTCCATCATTTTTGCCTAGCAGAACAGTCTGAATATTTAATTATAGGAAAATATGTCCTAATATATTACCTAAACATCCCCTTTCTCCTTGCCAGTACTCTAGTTACCCTTAGAGCTACTTGGACCAGCATAAATAATTCTACTCAGTCTTCTCTGAATTACATTCTGTTATCTACTTACAAATATCTACAGCACCCAGTTGACTGGGGATAATATAGTCAAATATGGGACTGCATGCTTTTAAGAACCGACAACCCTACATTTCCCAGTACTGAACTCTACTATACCACAGACCTACTTATCTTGCCTCTTCTCAACCCTCAAAAATGAGGCCATCTTGGTGAGGGAATGGCAAGTGGTGAGGAGGGAGGGCAGAGCAGCAGAGACTTCTGCATGTGATACACCGGAATGTTCTCACAAGGAAGCCATGCATCTCCCATGGCTGCACTGCTTCTCAGACCACATTACTCATACCAGCTTCCCTCTGAATACTGTGTTACTTTCATTAGGAGATGAGTACCTTACAGCATGGTGCTACAACACACATGTCCAGGAGTACAAAACTCACCTTTACATGTCTTCCCATCAAACTGGAGCGTGAATCCAACAGGACAGCTGCAGTGAACTCCAGTAGATGTATCCTTACACGTACGATCACAGCCACCATTATTAACTGCACATGTTTCTAGCCAACAATAAATAAAGTTTGCTCAGAGACATTGTAATGGTAAGAAGTATCACATGACGATACAAGGTACAGTTCCAAGAACACTGTTCAGCTACTTTTAGCCTGATATATATATGAGCAACTGCTAAATACATGCGTTGGCAAAATGGGCCTATGCTCCCTATGCTCTTCTAGGTGTAACCCATCACTGAAGCCAGTTCTCTTCCATGCACAAGCATACTTTCAGTTCAAGAGAAGCAGGTAAAACTCTTTTTCCAGTTTCAGAATGTAGTTTCTTATACATTGTGGAATAACATTCTGTCCTGAAAAGGGAGTGGGGCATCTCAGGAAGGATTCAGTCCAGAACTACGATGGTTACATTAAAAAAACAATTCTTCAACATAAGAGGTTTGAGCAAACAGCCAAGTTATTTTGGATAAACACTTTTTACCCATGAGCAACCGTCGCTTCACCCTCTTGTCCACATCAGCTCCTGCTGTAGTGTTTCCCTCAGGAATTTCAACAGCAGCCTCTTCCCTCTCTGTAAGGAGCATGAAAAAAGAAATGAGCAAAAGTGCCTTGACCAGAAATCTCATCTGATATTCAGTATATACAGAAATGCAAACAGATACATCATGCACTAAATTATTGGAGACAGTTGGAGCTAACTAGGCAGAAATAAAATTTAAAAAGAAAATAAAAAAAAAAAGAAGAGAAAGAAAGCCATGAAGAACCTCCAGTCAAAGCCACGAGAGTATTTTGCTTTTGTTGCTTCCTTACAACTCCCACTCGTTTCAGTATTCTCAAGATTAATAAAACAGAAAATGCACTACTGATGTGGTGAACAGTAACAAGATGAAAGAACTAATTGAATTGTCATAAACTGCTCTGTTAAGAGCACACTGTCATCATCTATCACAGACTAATGCACGGACAGGCAGTTATGCCTGAGCATTTGATTTCAATCAACAGGCAACAAAGTCTTCCAGAGACTGGAAGACTTTATAGGTCTTAAGTGCTTTCTTCACTGGATAACTGCCTTACAAAAACTGTACTCTAATTGAATTCAGAGTTCTGGTTTTAATGCATGCACAGCTTGGTTACACTCTCTGGCTCATGCTATACAAAAAAAAAAATTGAATCTAAAATGTCCTGGAAAGAAGGAAATCTTTTTTGGTTGGTAACAAGCCTTGTGTTTCAGAGGGACCAGCACTAATTACAGGCTGCAGCAGTATGAGGTAGGTACCTATATATGGAAGCATAAGTCACCTGGACCCAACAAACTCACTTGTGTACTAGCAGGTTTCTTAGTTTGGGATTCCTTGGTGTTTTCTAGCTCTGCTATTAATAGGAGTATTAGTCATACACACACAGCAATGTCAAACCACACTCAAGTTAGTCATCAACAGAAAACTACTACTCTGTGTACTGACCCAGACAGGTTTTCCCATCCATATGCATGATGTACTTGGGGTGACACCCACAAATGGGCCCATTATCAGCATCATCACATGTATGTTGACAGCCACCATTTCCATGATTACATGTTACTAGGAAGAAAATATATGTTAGATCTCACAAGCGCTTCTAGCATCTTTGAAAGAAAGTGTCCAATTTTGTCTCCATCTCCCAATACACCTTCCTATCACGCCCCCTTCCTCAGAAATTCCATGGGACTGAAACAATGCACTGCTCTCTTGGGTAGCTGAGCTTACAAATAATGGTACAACTCCTACAGTACAATTTTTTATTATTATTTTTTTTTAAACAAACAGCAGATCTGTGCAGTAGTGTCCTGCAAAGTCATTGATTCTAGTTTGGCTCAAATGCTCAGAGTCTAGGCATGTCATCCCAGTTAGTTGTAACATATCATATCCCATATCACTGCAGACAGAACACTATTTGTTCACTTTTGGAAACCATAAGCATATGCAGAATGTTGCATACAAATGCAGCTCCTCTGGTTCTTGGACAGCTCAAATCCTGGTCGGCATTCACAGGCAACGCCTCCTTTGGGTGTTTCTCTGCAGATGTGGGCACAGCCATGATCTTTATTCATGCAGCTCATGCCTTCTGCAAAACAGGACAAGTGCAACAGCATCAGCATCCTCGGCATCTCTGTGTGCAGGCAAGAGTCAAATCAGATTAGTCCAATATACACACAGCCAACAGCCTGCTACTTCTGGGAAGGCTCCACAGCATTAGAACAAAGTGTATGAGCTTAAAGACTAGAAAGGCAGAAAGTCCAATCCTGCAAACCAGTGGCCCCCAAGGCTTCTCCAGCTATAATCTTTTGTGTGCCCACATTCTTTGATTGCAAGGTCAAAAAGCAACATCCCTAGAACATCCCTAGATTTCTACAGCATCTGCATTCTCATCCCTTGCTCTCATTTTACATCAGCATTTATAAAACCTTTTATAAAAAACACAAGCTGGCTGGTACCTGACAAGATCAAAGCTTAAAGTGACGTTAATTCTTTGCTTATCCACCAGACACTGGAATGTCTAGGATGACACAGAAAAAAAAAATGGCATCCCCATTTCAACTGCTGGTCTACCAAGCAGATTCTCAAAGCCACAACCTACCTCAGCAATGACCAAGTAATGACCACGTAAACATGCAAGTGGTATCTATGGTGTATGTCAGTTCTTTCTTGTCAACTATTTTGTTTTCATGTTTTTCAGATTTCAACTAATCTCTTTCAAAATAACCCCACTGGGAATTATCACGCTGTTCTGTACTTCTGTGCGCCTCCCAGCTGGACAGAACTTGATGCCAGAAACCAAAGGAAAAAGCAAGGTGCCACTAGTGACTTTCTTCCTTTTGGTGCACCTCACAAAAAACATTGCACCATTTCTGTCTCTGACAGTTACAAGCTGTTCACGCACTAGCTCTCGATGACTGCCATAGTGTTTTGTCTGGCCTCTGCAAAAGGTTCAAGTCAATTAAACAGGTAGGAAATGTTCCTAGAACTGTTGTAAAGGCTTTTTCACCTTAACCCCTCGCTCAGCTAAATCAATGCCAGGGCCATTGGCAAGACTGTAACACAATTCGTATGCCCACAACTTAAAACTACGTGTCAGCTGGCTGAGTTATCAGAACACCACTGAGCGTTGCTGAAATCTTCTACGTTGCTACACAGATGAGAGAAAGAAAAAAAGAATACTCTCCTTGGTTATTCTGAGAACACATTTTTGCCATCAAATGCTCTGCCTTGGTGTATTTAGCTTTTATAAGACAACACATTACACCAAAATGTTCTTTTTTCTTGGCAAGAACACTTTGAGAAGACTCAGTGTATACTTCAGCTGCAAGGGCTGATACCCCATTAACCCAGGGGACTTCTACCGACTTGAGCAAATGCACTATCAGAGAAATGAAAAGGGTGAACATGTTGCCAGAAAGGGTCAGCATGAACAATTTCACAGCCTATACATGTATATTTTTAGAATTTATGCAGCACCTTTTGAAGCCTCATACCTAAATGAAACAAGAAACACTATTGGCAGTCAGTGGCAATCAGAGGTCAGCTCCTCACCATTATTCCATTACTCTTCAGTTAGGTTCTTGCTCCAACTTGCACACAACTGTTTTGGCTATCTGAAGCACAAACTGTGGTACCCTTTCTCTGTTAAGAAAGATTTAAGCAGCAACAGAATAGATGCTGCAGAGCCTGGATTATTCTGCTCTATTGGTTTTTCTGCTCCTTTCCCACAGTGAGGGCCCTGTAGAAGTCTAACAAGACAAGGATGCTGCAGATCCTGCAGCACAGAGACACAGCCCAGGGAGCCCACATGAAAGCTGTCATCCATTATTGTGCTGTCAGTCAAGGAATGGGGCAACCCATGAGACCACAAATTAGCCTTATTAACTCGTGTTTTTGTGACTTTTCTGTTCCTAAATATGCAGTATGATTTGGTCTATTAACTCAGCATTGTTAGACAGCATTAAGGGAAACAGCAGCTTAGTTTCTGTTAAAGTTTGCTGTTTGTCTGTGTCTGTTGAGCTACCAAAGGGAAAACCATTCAAGCAGGTACTTTGGTAAAGTTCACTGACATCAGACATATGGTGTAAATGATAAGTTGGGAATTGATCAGTTCTGAACAAGCAGAGTTCAATCAGGTCTTCACAGAAAGCTAAAAATGCACTTTCCAAACGAGGGCACGTTATTAAAATAAGAGTATCCATTGTGTAACAAAGCACATGATCAAACCCACCAAAATCCAATCTTCTCCACAGTAAATGCTGGGACATCATCACCAATTTGGTAAGAACACTAAGGCTCCATTTAGGGCACTTCCAGGCAGACACTCAGTAGGACAGAGTGAGGGTGGGAGGGGAGGCAATTGCAGGAAGAACAACCCAATATTCTCAGAGGCAGTCCCCTAGGAGCCAAGTGGCAAAAAGCATCAGCACAGACAGAACAGGACCTCCCAGGAATGTTTGCGACCATTTGCATGCTTTCTACAGCTCTGCATTAAGGCAGATTTTTCCAAAAAGCTTTCTAGTTATCACTGCTGCTCCACAGAAAGAAAGAATCTTAAAGCTATAGCTAACATGGTCACTTGTGCACAAGCTTTCAGGACCATACAGCGGTTTCAGATGTGGCCTTCAAATCACAGGCCCAATTAACTCCCACTGACTCAGCACAAAAAGTAGATAGCTATGACCCTGTGAAATACCACAGGAAAAAGTGGCAAGATTCGTCATCAATAGCAACAGCAGCTACAAGATGTACTGCAAATTTACTAGTGAAAATTCTACATTTTCATTCCAATTTTCCCCATTCTCTTATATGCTGAAAATGAAACAAGATGTGCAATGCTGCCCTGTCAGCCAGATAACAGCACCCCAAAGTAAATCCGTTCTCCTACATATAGATGAAAAGTAGCTCATTCTAAGCAGACAGTCCAGGAAAGATTACGGTTGTGCACAGACAGAGTTCATGTGATTCAAGCAGAGGCTAGGCAGAACCACCAAGAACCTCAGAGGATCCCTGTGCTCCAGACCTACACAATCTTATCAGATGAAAATCAGCTTTAATTATCAAACTCTCCTCTAATAGCTACCTTACCTTGAGTCCCACATTACCGTCTTGGAATAGGTGACAGGGAACCCAGAAGATCAGAGTAAATAGACTTGGAAGGGCAGGTGAGTCAGAGACTTCCCCGTTACACTAGTCATCTGAAGGAATACAACATCCTCAAGCCTCTGCATTTTTCCAGTTTCAACTCCAGCTCACTCTTTTTGTGTGCATGTAAAGGCCAATATTGCAGACCACTAAGAAGAATGTGCCCTCTTAACTGATCTGAGAGACAGGGAAGGAAATTCTGCCTTATATTATAGATAAGAAATGAAACTGAATAGGTGGGCTAGGCAGCAATGTTTAGATCCATGCTGTGATGCCTTGCGAAAGGACTACTAAGGGATGTACAGAGAGATAAGTACATAAGGCAGAGACCTAGCAATGATCAGAAAAGAGGAGAACAAAGTGAGAGGAAAGAGACAACAATGAGATCTGGCTTAAAACAGACCTGCCCACCCAAGAAAAAAAAAAGTGGGGAATTCCATGCAGTGCTTCTTCACAGTAATGTGGGAAGGGGAGGGAGGTAAACAAACAGAGCGATGACACGAAAAAAATGGCTTTAAAAACACAAACAACACTTCTGTATTTCAGTATCAAGAATTCCAAAGGTACAATTATTAGTAACAGGATATGCTGCTGCTGTTAGTTCAGGAGAGTTTAGCATACTCAAGAAGTAGCAAATGAGAAGAGTTGGAAGCTTTTTTTCCCTTGGCATCAGACAAGACGAGAAGTTAAAACAACTGATCTTCATTCTTGGATTCATCATCCATGCACACAAACACACATCACTGCTGGCAAGGAAACACGAAGGGAAAAACCTTGCCCTGCCATTGCAGCCTGCTGCAGTAGCAAGCTGAGCAATGGCCTGAGAAATCACCATGCATCACCAGATCTCCATGAGACCAAGCACAATACCAGAGAAGCTGAGAATACAGATTCGTAATTCAAACAAAAGATCAATTCAGCTACGTCAGATGACAGCCACCTCAGTGCACTCATCTCGGGATGGCCATATATGTCTACAAATGCTGATCTCTTCAGTATGGGGAATTTTAAAGTGAGATTTGTTTATTCATGCTCAGATTCCTCTTATAGTCATGCCAACGATAAGCCTTAGATTAAAGAAAGCTTTGCAGCCTTAAATACTTCTTAGTAAGATATTCACTGTACAGTTCAATGGACAACTCCCTGATCTGAGTAACCACTTTAAAGTATTCCCCAAGGGCATCCAAAATAATTTTGTTCAACCCAATGTCTAATTAGACATCCAAGGCTCTCAGATCTTTTAAAGGTAGTTTCATAAAGGTTTCACTCAAAACAAAGAACACTATTTGAATACCTTTGGGGCTGACAAACAATAAATCTCTTAGCTGAAACCTAAACATTGTATGGGGAATCTAAAAGGTACCTAGAGGTAATGTAGCTTTTGCCTTGTAACTGAAGTCGGTGGAAACTGTCAGAACTCACGGTCCCTCAGTTTATTGCCATTTCCTGGATCAGGACACAGCTCAGCTGCACAACAGAGCATAAAGTACACTGGGAGTATAGCAGTGCAGCCTTTAAAAAGCAGAACACTGCAGACATACAGGTGGGATCAAAGGGGCAGAAGGGATGCAGACAGTCTTCAAAGTCACTTAGAAGATCCTGACACAGTGCTCCTTTTAAAAGAATTGAGGACTTCAAGATACTTCACAGCCTCAAAAAACTCAAACTAAAAATACTTTTGAATCTGCTATAGAGAGTTTGCAGTGAGCTTCTGTCAAAAACTCCTGCTTGGTGCGTGGAGGGAAGCAGCCAGTACCTTCTGAGCGGTGGATGCATGTGTGCTGGTTGTCACTTAGAAAGAATCCTTCCTTACAGCGACACTCGTAGCTCCCCACAGTGTTGACACAAATGTGCTGGCAACCACCATTGTTGAACGTGCATTCATCTGTATCTGAAAGAGAGAGAAAGAGAACAGCTTCGTACCTGCCCCATATGAAAACCACCGCTACAAGTTAACACCGAGACAGCTATTTGTGTTAGCTGCTCAATATACAGCACAGACACCAGGTCCCTAACCAGCAGGTACCCACCCAGGCAGCTCAGACAGCTGGGGCTAGCCCGTTGTTCTGTCAGCCTTGCACAAGTATATTTCTGCCCCCCACTCTTCCCGTTTGCAGTTTGGCCAGTCAGTCACAGGGCTCCCAGGAAATTCTGGCCAACTAAACAAGAAGGCAGAGCAGCTTCAGGGAAGACAGAAGCAGGGTACCTGCACTAGGCCCACACTTCATGTAGGAGAACATCCACTGCCTCAGCTCCCTACTCCACATAGGAGAATATACACTGCCTCTCCGAGCAGCCAGAGAGTACTACCACTAAGCAAACTAGCACATTTACATCTAGGTTGAGCATTCATGCCTGGTCCTATCTTGCTCCGTGATATACAGCTTTGGTTCCAAACCCAAGCAAGCAATGTATGGTGTTTTTCAGTAAGATCCCCATTCTGAAGCAAAGGTGGAAGAAAAACACCAAGTTCAAAATAAGATTGGCTTAAATATAAAACCTTCCTCTTCTTCCTCCTTGCTTTTGCTCTAGCTACAAGTCATACATCACATGTTCTGATGTTCAGTTTGGTTTATTATCCTCCTCCCTCAACTCTAGGTCATCATCACTTACCGTCAAGGCTGCTGTCATGTTGCCTGACCACAGTCAAGGACAAGAGCAGAAGTTCTGGAAATAGGTTCAATGTTGATGTTGCAATACGTAGAGCTTCAACAATACCAGAGAATATAGAAACGCTCAATTTGCAAGATAGCCAAGAGAAACAAAGAGTAGAAAAACCTTCAGATATGCCTCTGAATACAGGATGTTCATCCCAATCTCCAGTTCTTCTGAATTTCATCCTTTAATTGCTGGAGACTTCTGTAACCTCTGCCAGCAAATAATTCTCTTACCCTAATTTTCCAATTTTTCAAATGCCGGTTTGAACAGGAAGCAAAAATGCTCAGTACCTTAGAAAAAAAATTAGCAAGACAAAACATTGCTTAGGGAAAGCACTGGTCTCATTTGCAAGTTCAAATGGGACACTATATTTGCTCCCTGTTCTGTTCATTGTTCCTGTGATAATAGTACAATGTTTTTAATTTAATACTTTAACATTTCTGGCATAAAACAGCTGCCTTCCAAAAAATCGGGAAAAAGAAAGGCTTTTAGTAAAAAGCATAATGCGGCATTACACCAGATTTAATTTCTACTGAAGGCAACGAGTAAGCCAATGGGATGCAAAGGAATGTGACCTGCTCATAGCAACAAGAACGGCTGACATATCTCCATCACAGAGAATCTGAGTATTTTAGAGAGCTACAGTGCTGTGAATGTCCAAACAATCATGAATAAACAGCCACCATGAGCCTGCAGTACTACAGATTTGAACTCCAGCAGATGTTTCTGCCTTACGGAGCTTGGAAAGATTACAAAATATCATCTCTTTCCAAAAAGTAATTGTCTATTTGGCTAAAACCCAGACACACAGCTGAGATCTTCAAAAATGAGTGCGAAAGGAGAGCAACCATGGTGTAAAGACAGTAAATAAACAGATTAAGAGAAGATGTGATCCAATTTGCTGCTGCATACCAAAATATTTATTTAAAGTTTACATCATATCTCAAAAAATGGCTGGTCAGTAAAAACTTCACCGTATGTCAATGACATTTTATTTTAAAAAGTCTGCCATGCAATACTGAACAGCTTCCCAGTACTGTAACAGGTGGCAGATTTTGGTCTATGTTCTGTCTGTCTTACTGATCCCAAACAAGTCAGTGGAATTATGTTCTAGAGGGGCTACTGGCTACTAAGAGAACGTACCCTTTGGTGGCATTACAAGAGGCAATGCATTAGCTCAATTTCAGCCCTTCCTAATAACCTCAGCTGAACTCCACTGTGTGTTTACACAAAGGCAAGAGAGAAAAAATAAGATGTCCTCAATATGTTAAAGCATCAGCAAATAGTTTGCTTCCCTCTCTATTTTCTTTAGTGAAATACTTGAACTCGGTGACTTCACCGTCTCCCCTCCATTTACGCTAAAACAAGGTTAATCTGTGGGCATGCACCAGACTCACAGCCGGTAAAACTCAACACAATCCCCCACTGGAGACTCCAGAGCTTTTCTAATTTGACCCAGAAGAAGATAGAGCCCAGGGATGCACATCCACACACAAATGTGCAGCAGAAGAGAAAAAAACTGAGCTATCTCTGGAAAAGCAAATGTGACAGTTTCTGCAGCATGGGGTGGTGGGGAAAGAGAGAGAGCGTGCAGGGTCAAGGGAGTGCTGCCTGGAGTGAACATGTTTCCAGGGTTGTGTACTTTGCTTCACGTTAACTACCCAGGAAAACCCTGAGCATTTTGTTTATGCCCTCTGAACTTCAACACCCCTCTGTCATACACAGCAACTGCACAGCCCTAATTGTGTGCCCTTTCCTTATCGCTTGCATGTCAGGAAGGGCTCAGACATTGGAAGAGGGAGAAGCCCATACGTTCTAGACCTCGCAAGAGAAAAGGTTTTAGGTAAAGAAATACACGCGAGAATTGACTCTAAGCTAACTTTGGAACAGAAAAGACGATGACAACACGTGTTCTTTTAAGGAAAGCCATTACAGAAACAGAGAAGCACAACTACCCTCAAACGGTGAAAGCGCAATGCCCCACACTCAGACGGGGAAAGCACCACACTGGGACGGCGCATGGGTGCCTGGAATACCCCCTTCCATCAGTGACCTTCTCCTCCAGCCGAGCTGATGAAGCACAACAGATGACCACGCATTTCCCAGGAACGCCGCTAAAACGTTAGAGCGTTCCCACTCGCAATGCTCACAAGCACGCTTACCCAAGCAGTTGTGGCCGTCGTGAGCCAACATAAAGCCGTCGTAGCAAGTACAGCGGTAATTCCCCGGAATGTTGAAACACTCGTGGACACAGCCTCCATTGAAGTCGTTATCACATTCATCAATGTCTACGGAATAAAGCAAAAGTCAACATGATGGATGCTTGCTTGAGTGTTATAGACACTGCGCGATGAGACTGTGTAACTGTGAACAGCAACTGCTGGCCTAAATCGTCATTGTCTTGCAAATGGGCAACACTTAACGCATTACTTGCTAAATGTTTCCAAAGAGTGACAAAATACCCTGAGATTCCCACAGAGCTTAGCCTTATAGGCTAAGGTTTTTAAGGCTGCTGATTAAACAAACTAATGGTTAGACCAAGTGGTATTGCTAGGTGAAAAGCCATGCAATTGTTTCTCTTTTGATTTTGTAACTGAGAAAAATCAATCCGGTCTTTTAAGATCAGCCTGAAAAACAATTCGTCCCCTATCTTTTAAGGCATTATTATTTTTCTGCTTTGTCTTCTCAGAAATATCTCATGTTTTCGCATGTAATATCCCGTTAAATTTTAGTAACACCATCTATAAAAGGCCACCAGATGATGTGGGAGGGGGTGGCGGTAAAGCAATCAGCAGTCAGAGGTTGTTTTTTTAGGTTCTCTACAACAGACAAAAGTAAGATGACGCAATCAAAGAGTGACAGCACGAAAGCACACAAAGTAAAAATAAGAAAGTTAGTATCCACAGGTCATTGTCTGCCCTTGTCAAGGCAGAATTCAAGTTGACTAAAAGCTTATATGAACACCTTCACACAATTCTTCTGTGGAACTCCGTGCTGCATGGCATCGTGCACATCAAGATCTCTGAAGTATTCAAAAAACATCTCAGATGCATGTAACATGGGTGATCCACTTCACAACAGCAAAAAATTAAAGAAGAAAATACCCCACCATTTGGGAAATCACAGGAAATTGCTCATAAAAACCATGTTCCACCTCTCTGCTACTGGCAGGAAATTTTTCAGTGGCTATGCATTTGCATACTACAGTATTTCTTTCCCCCTCTTTAGCTTGCTAGAGGCAATTAGAAATTAAAAATAATAATAAATCACTGTTTCAACCTCATAACGTAGTCCCTGTGTTCCTCCAGCAATTACACTGTGAGCAGCTCCTAAACCTGAAGGTCAGCGCCTTCACCAGTACCTAGTATATTTGTAAAACCCAAAGTCATAAGCAGCAAGTAAGGACTACAGTAAAGCATCAAAGCCTCCTACTTCTGGGTACCAACCTAGCTGCAAACAAAAGTTGAACGAGTCCCATATACTTGGCCAAGGCCTTGTCCCACGCTGGCCAAGGTGAAGGACACTTGGTGCTGACCAGCCTATCTCATGCACAGTAGCACGTGGGACCTTCAGAACATTTTTATGCGAGATTTCAGTCCCAGTATCCCAGCCGACATTTGCTTTACAGAGAGAAGAAACTTGCTACTATGGACCTGCACTTCCCTTGCTAATTCTATCAGTTCCAAAGAACACTCCAGGACCTTGCAGGAAGGCAGAGAGGTGCAATTACTGAGACAAGGCAGAGCAGAGCAATTCCATCGTTTTACCTTCACATTTCTTCCCTTCGCCAGTGTAACCCACTTTGCACATGCACTTGTACAGCTTCGGGGTATTTTGACATATGGCATCTGGATGGCAGTCATCAAGCCCCAGGGCACATTCATCCACATCTGTGAAAAAATACCAAATTCAAAAAAGGATGCCAGAAGATGGAGAATAGGGCATAAGTCCTGTATGTTTCACAGACTAGATGAGAAAAGGCTGCAAGCATGCACATACCAATTTTAAATCCAAGACAAAAACATGCAGAGAGTATCCAGACTGAAACCTGTACCAATGGCTGTACCTGCACATGAACACACCTGCATGCAGTTCAGATAAGCTTGCACAAAGCTTTTGCGCTCACTTATAAACGCATTTACATTAATCTATTATGGGCTAGATCCCCCATGAGATTTAGCCGATGAAGTTTTACAGCAATTTGTTTACCCCAGAAGGAGCTATGACTGTATCTCTTTGCAGAACTGTTGAAAAGAGATGCTGTTCATCTTCCTGGTTAACATAAAACTAATACTGGAAGAGATCTCCATCGCAACCACAGCATCACCCTTAGGAAGCCCAATGTCTCTTAAACTAATGGGAGTTCACAGAGATAATGAAATTTCCAAGCTGCCAACCTGCAACACGTTAAAAGACTGGCTTACCATTAAACAGACGGGCAACCTATTAATAACACCTTTTTTATTGCTTAGTTTTTTTGGTTTAATACAAAGCTAGCATCTGTCGAGCAGCGCTGCCGAGTCACCTGGCCGGCCAGCGCAGAGCACAGCGCGCTGAAGCAGAATATCCGCCTGCAGCCCCAGAGCAGGGGAAGCGAGGGGAAAGAGAAACGCCAATAGGCAGCAGCCCTGCAGACGGAGGAGCGCAGACAGGAGAGGAGGGGAGAGAAGTGACGGGCGGCAGCGGGGGAGAGCTGCGAGGCAGGGGCAGGCAGACCTGCAGCCAGGAGCGGCACCCAGCGCGGAGCCCCGCCACGAGGAGCCGGCGGGGCTGTCTGTCAGCCGCTTTGTGCGGCGGGCACGGCGCTGTGCCCGGCTCCGCTCCCGGCCGCGGCCGCAGCGTTCCCCGCGCTGCGGGTCCCGGAGGCAGCGGCCGCCGCGCTGAGGCGCCCGGTGCCCGGCCCGCACCTGCCCGCCAACGGCCGCTAACGGCCGGCGCGCGCCCCGCCAACGGCTCCCCGCGCGGCCCCGCTGCCGGCCAGGTGCCGGCACTCACCGGGGAGGGGCAGGGCGGCGGCGCCCGGCGCGGGCAGCAGCAGGAGCAGCAGCGGCAGCGCCCGCGCCCCCGCCGCGCCGCGGCGGCCGCCGGACCCCATGGATGGCGCTGAGGCGGCGGCGGCGGCGGCTGCCTGCTGCTGCTGCCTGCTGCTGCTGCTGCTGCCGCCGCCGGGCGGGAGGAGGCGTCTGCGGGCCCGCCTCGCACCGACGACGGCGGGCGCGGGGCGGCCGGGGCTGGGCGGGCCTCCCCGGGCCTCCCCTGCCCTCCCCGCCGGCCGCCCCCCACCGGCAGGTGTGGAGGGGAGCGGCGCTGCCCCGGCCCCGGCCCCGCCGTACCTCAGGAGCACGCCGGGTGCCGGCGGCAACTGCCTCAGAGCCGCGGCTCCCGGCGGGGTTCATATCGTCAGTGAATCTTCAGAGCGAAACTTGCCCTCGGTCTTTGTTTCCTTAATGGTAGCTGTAAATTAGCGCTGTCTCACCGCAGCATCAGGCTTCACTGCTTTTGAAACGATCAAAGTTATCCCCTTTTAAAATCCAGTGAGAAACGACCCATTGTACGGCGGGGGCAGTTCCAGCCCCAGTCCAGCTCGTCTATAAATGCAGAAAGCTGCTCATTAAACGCTCCAAGGGCTCTCCAACCCCACAACAAACCCCAAAGCTCCCCTCACTGACAAGTAATAAAGGGATGAGGCTTTCTGCCCCATTTCCACGCTCCCACGTGCAGGCAGCCACATTCAGGATGGGAATTCACAGATCCTGAACTAACATGGGAATTCACCTCTCCCCGGGGATACCCATGAAGGTGCCTCTTCACACAATCCCCCAGATGCAGACAAGCCACTTCCCATTGAAGCACACGACTACAAGCTACCTGACAGGAAAGCTGATCCACATTTTCAGCACTTTCCACTCAAGGTTCCTCAGGGAGCCCGACTGGTATTAATTCAGCTAAAATTCATCACCAGATATGACAACATAGCATCTACATATGCGGTGTAGCAGAAAAACAGAGACCCCGAAGAGGCAAACAGCCCATACAACCAAAGCTTTCTGAGACACAGTAAAAGCAGAGCTGCTTGTTTACTTTTGTAAACTAAAAGAAAAAGTGACACAAATATTTAGGAATGCCCCAGTTAGATCAAAAGATTTCAACACACAGCTAGGAAAACACACAGGAACAAATTTATCTTAGTTAATCAAACTATGTCTTACACATAAATCTTGAAGTTCTTTGTGATGGACCTTAGCTGTAATTTAACATATAATACTCATTTGTTTATGATGAAGGGTTGCCATTAAAATATCTCTTTGAAGACACAAAACAGATTGAAGCCCAGACCTTAACTCAGATGTCTTTCTACAGCTTTCTTTAACCGTTTCTATTCAACTACAGAGTGACAGAGAGAGATGACAAGCACTGAGTATGAAGATTTTTACTGGAAGGGGGAAGCTAGAAACTGACGGAGTGCTAAGAACTTAAGTATGTTGAAAGAAAAAAAAATAAATAGCAGCAGTTTTTCAAAAAAACAGAACCCAAACAGCACCGACTGTTTTTCTTCAGCAATTAACAACATTAAATAACATCACAGATTTTTAGGAAGAAAAATAGCTACCAGTAAAACTTCACAAGAAGCATAACTAATCAGGGTATTTTCATACATTATACATACTGATCCTACAATCAATAGCAAAGTTTTTGCTCCTCTAGGTATCTGACAACATTTTAGTTTTGAGCCAAGTTTTTTCAGCTTGTGTGGACCAAAGTGCCATTCAGTTATGTTTCATGGAGGCTTTGGGGAGTTTACAAGCAAAAGCTTACTTTTGGTGAAAGGCTTGTACTTCTGAAGGCCTGCCTGCTTTTTCCGATTGTACTAATGTGCATACTGTGCTATAATCTTGCTAAAGCTAGCACTTGTTCCTGCAAACCTTGTCCGATCTCTTTGGACCACAAGGACTGCTATGACTACAACACTGTCACAAACACTGCCTGCTGCTCCAAAGAACCTTTTCCGTGCAGACAAGGATCCACGATTCCTCCTGCCCTCCACTCAAACTAAATACTGCTTGAAGCTGCTTCACACCAAAGGATATAGACTAAGCTGTCAAAGAGCAGTCTGATATTGAAACTGCTTTGGAAATTCTGCACCTTATCTCCTGAATAGAGTTGAATACACCAGAGATCTGGGATTAAAAAACAAACAAAACAAACAAACAAAAAAAAAAACCTGCTCTTATGCTTTATAATCCTTGCTAAATTTTATTATTAAATGATAAGCAAATATTTACTTAAGGACATCTAGAATGCTATTTCATTTGTACTTGAATGTAGTGAGAAGTAATGGGTCTGCTTTTGGGGTAATTTTGACCCAAAATTTAACACAACCGAATGAGTGCTTGTGACAGAAGCTGAACACGGGTGGGAGAGCAGTGAAAAAAGCGAAGAGGGCCGACATACAAGTGAAAGAATACCTTAAATATTTGATTTATTCCAAAGCCTTTCACATATGTCTCAGAGCTTTAGTTTCAAGATCTTCTCATCTCTATATGGATACTGGGTTCTGAACAACTGGAATCCTTTGAGATGAATCATTCAGTTTTGCACTTAATATTTCCATCCTAGCATCCAACAGTTTTACAAGCTACTCACCATCTTGTTGTGGAGATCTACATAAAATAACACAGCTTCAGTAGTCAGCATTCAGTTGTGCAATTTAACAGTGCCTTTCAGATTGAGAGAGACATACGTATGGCTTACCTCAGAGAGAAAATCTGGGGCACTCTGGTCACAAGTAGTCTAGAAGACCTTCTCACGGAATTTATACTCCTTGTCTAAGTCTTTTTAAGCCACTGGTAGAAAAACCTCCTCAAAATAAACATCAGATATATTGATGATATTTCAAATGTTGTAGGATCTGTCTTAAAACACCTGCCACTGAAATTATGATAAATTGTACCTTGCTCATTTCAGGGCTTAATAAAGTACATTTATTAATGAATACACATCCATGATTTAATAGTAAGAAGTCCCTTTTCCCTTATGTGAAATGATTTGTGCACAACTGCACCATGCAGTTCTTTAACTAACTCTTTTGTACTTCTTTGAGAGAACCTCCCAAGGTATCTCCACCAACAAATCATAACGCCAGCACATTTCTAAACCCAGTGTGTTTGGACTAGTTAGTCAGCAGACAATCCCTCCCTAACACTCAAATTCTCCTCACCGGCTGACATTAAGCCTCACCTTCTATAAAATCACCTCAGACCTGGCACACGGAAAAGTGCTGTGAAGGCAGCAGTTGCACAACAGGCTTTGCTCACCAAGGCCCCTGATCTTTTTGTTCCTTCCCCTTGGGAGAAGATCGGAGGCCACCCACAGTGAAGCAAATGTGCTTCTGAAGCCGTGCTTACCTCAGAGCTCCATCCAGGCCTGCCCCACAGACATCCTCACAGCACCCTGCGGAGGATTTAGGAGCAGCAGGTCTTATGAGCCCAGGGAAGGAAGATGTTAGACTCAGTTTCCAAGACAGGCAAGCTTGGCATTTTGCACAGCCGCCACTTGCTTGGCAGCACATACTGAGTTCACAACCATACCCCCGAGCCTCTCTAAGGCTCAAAACACTCCTTGGAGCATGGGGCAGGTAGAGCTCATCCTCTCAGCATCTCCCCCAGCAAGTCCACAGCACAATACCACCAGTGGTTAGTGCTGCAGTCACTGACAACTCAGGAACACCGATGTGTTTCTTCCCATAAGAGATCTTAAAACTTCTTTCACTTTGTTTAAAAAACCCTCCAACACAGATCAGGGTGTGTGGAAGAAAAACAAATTTAAAAAAAAAAAAAAAAAAAAAAAAAAAAACAACACAGAGGGAGATGAAGGAATCAGACATAGCTCCAAAAAAACAGTAAAACTCCTTCCCTTCAGTGTTTCCCTGAATGGTACAGAACATTCAGTAACAATCTCAGAGTCTGACACAGATTTCAGAACAGTCCTAACTTACCTTTGTTCTCAAGCAGAGAATGTTACTTTTTGTATTTATCAGCTTCAAAACAGGTATTTGTCAAAGCAGAAGTTAGTCATTGCTATAAAGCACGTCAGAGCAATAAGCAAGTCTCGCCAGCTGTAGGTGACAAAAGAGAAGGCAGCTCCATAAAACACAGGATAAACAGTGCACCTGAAAGATGAGCTCTTCTTCTGCAGATGCTGGGCTACCAAGGAATGGCACAAATCACACCATGTGGGGCAAGTGGCATTCAGTATTCTTACCTGTTGCTGCCATTGCACATGGGGACGGACTGCAGAATCTGTGAGTGGGGTTGGAAGGTATCTGTGGAGACAGATAATTGTCCAACACTCTGCCCAAGCAGAACGCCCTGAAGACTATATTTTGGATGAAGCAGAAGATGAACATGAATAAAACTGACTTTATCTCTGCTTCTCACATAGCTGGCATAAAAACTTTCAGAACATCGGCAGCAGAAAAGTTACACAAGTGAGATACGCTCGCATTTGTTTACTGGTCAATCCAATCTAGAAACTAGATTTAATATACAGGAAAGCATACAGAACCAGTTTCTAGGTGAGATAAGCAGAGCAGTATGTAATGAACAAAGATTACACATGGCTCCACTATGTCATTATGTACTTCAAATCATTCAAAAAAAAAAAAGTGAATGAAAAGATAGAGAAGGGACCCTATTTTTACCTCTGTCCCAGCACAACCCATCCACCCAGTAATTCCAGCTCTGGTACAATCTGTCAAGTTATACCTTGCCATGGGCAAAGATAGGATAAATCAAGCAGGAAACAGACAATATAGGCAATTATGCTTGGGTACACCGTGCCACAGATGCAGCCATGGTCAGAGTCTGAGATGGGGACAATGCTGTTTTCTTGTTTAACCTTATAGCTGAAGCATCAGATAACATTTCCAATCATTTCTACTTTTCTTTATGGATCCTTACACAGAGGGAAAGGTTGAGCAAACAGTACATGGAAACTGACTGTATTTTTCCAAACTTAAAATTCTGAGACCACCTTGAAACTTCTTCAAATATGAGGATCAGAAGTTGTGCTAAGGCAGGAGAAAAGCTATTACATACAGCAGAGCACGTGTCTGTACACGTACTCAGATGCTCTCCAAGATCTACATTAGTCCCTTTGCCCTCCTGTTTTCCTCACTCCCTGATTACTGAGCAGGCATCTTTTCCACTGATGGATGTGTTTGACTGATGA